ATAGACATTATTGTTTCTTTTATATTACATACTAAATGTTGAATTGTTTTTATAATTGTTTTAACTGTATTTTGATCATTATTATGGCATCAAATCGCTGCCGACCGTGAACCGCCTTGAGCCGCCTCCGGCTGAGAAAGGCGGTATACAAATGCGGTAAATAAATAAATATAAGCAACACAACACACATTTTCCTGTATTTATTCCCAACAATTACATTATTTCTAAATATGATGTGACTTTTTAAAAAAATGTAATACTAATTCTTTATTTATATGTCACCCTATCGCCCCAAAGGGACTCAGGGTAGTTTACAACAAAAGTAACAGAGTGTTGGAGTTCAGCCTATGATTGTGTTTCAAGATGATCAAGGTGCTTTAGATGTGGGGAATGATGTCCCTGAGCGTCAAGATGGCAATGGTCTGGTCAGTGATATTAATGCAGAGAATGACATAGGGACACTGGTTCAAAGTGTAGTTTCCCATGAGAATGTTCCTACAGGGTATAGGGATGTTAGTTTACTCCATGGCCCAGAGAGTTCCCAGGATTTAGGGTTTGAAAACAACTTGGCACCTGGAGAAACTGAGCAGATAGATAGTGAGCAAATAGACAGACACCTGGAAATTAGCCAAAACAGACAGCTCAGTCAAGGTCTTCGCCATTCGGCAAGACTTCGAGAGATAAGGGGAGAGGCAGTCAAGGTAAATGAAACCAGTTTCTGGTTGCTGGGAATAGCCTAACGGAGGAATATAAAGTTTCCACTAGGGAAAATATAGTCAGATGAAGCATCGTTTCAGAATCCTGCAAAGTCCTTGTTCTTGTCCTATGGAAGCCTTGCTTGGAAGATTCATGTTAAGGATTTCTTGTTCATGGTTTGACTCTTTGTCTCTTGTGCTTATATATTGCATATTCTGGCGTATAAGACTACTTTTTAACCCAAGAAAATCTTCTCAAAAGTCAGGGGTCGTCTTATACGCAGGTGCAGTCTTATGCATGGGAGTCGTCTTAACTCTATATTTTAACTGGAAAAGTTGGGGGTCGTCTTATACGCCCAGTCGTCTAATATGCCGGAATATACGGTACTCACTAGCTGTGCCCTGCCACGCGTTGCTGTGGCCTTTAGTAAGAGTTTTGAAGTCTCTGCCTGGCCTCTCTTCCTTCCTTCCCTTGCTCTCTTTCCCTCTTTCTCTCTCTCACACTCCTTCCTTTCCCCTCTTTATCTCTCTTTCCCTCTTTCTCTCTCTCACACTCCTTCCTTTCCCCTCTTTCTCTCTTTCTCTCCCTGGCATCTCTCCTTCCTCCCCCTTCTTTATGCTTGTGTGTAAACTTGAGTATTTTCTGTTGGTCATAGGGGTTCAGTGTGGCATGTTTGCCCCAATTCTGTCATTGGTGGGGTTCAGGATGCTCTTTGAGTGTTGGTGAACTGTGAATCCCAGTGACTACAACTCCCAAATGTCAAGGTCTATTTTCCCCAAACTTCATCTGTGTTCATATTTGGGCGTATTGAATGCTTATGCTAAGTTTGGTCTGGATGTAGGTTAACTACAACTCTCAAACTCAAGGTCAATGCCCACCAAACCCTTCCAGTATTTCTGTTGGTCATGGGAGTTCTGTGTGCCAAGTTTGGTTCAATTCCATCATTGGTGGAGTCCAGAATGCTCTTTGATTGTAGATGAACTATAAATCCCAGGAACTACAACTTCCAAATGACAAAATCAACCCCCCCCCCCCAAGTATGTGAGACGTTGTGTTGTGTTGTGAAGCCTCCCCCTCCTCTCCCCCCCCGCCTTTCCCTTCCCTTCCCAGCACTCGCCTCTTTTGCTGCTCTTCCGTCGTCCCTCCCTCTGGCCGGAGTCGTCCAAAAAGGCAAGAAGGAAGCGGGCGGCAGGGGCGCGGCTTAGGCAAGAGAGGCTTCGTGCAGGGCCTAGCCTTGCACGAAGCCTCTCTCGCCTAGATCGCGCTCCCGCCAGGCGGCAGGGGCGCGGCTTAGGCAAGAGAGGCTTCGTGCAGGGCCTAGCCTTGCACGAAGCCTCTCTCGCCTAGATTGCGCTCCCGCTGGGCGCTCCCGCCTAGGCCCCGCACGAAGCCTCTCTCGCCTAAACCGCGCTCCCGCCAGGCGGCAGGGGCGCGGCTTAGGCAGAGGCTTCGTGCAAGGCTAGGCCCCGCACGAAGCCTCTCTCGCCTAAGCCGCGCTCCCGCCAGGCGGCAGGGGCGCGGCTTAGGCGAGAGAGGCTTTGTGCAAGGCTAGGCCCTGCACGAGTCGTCCAAAAAGGCAAGAAGGAAGCGGGCGGCAGGGGCGCGGCTTAGGCAAGAGAGGCTTCGTGCAGGGCCTAGCCTTGCACGAAGCCTCTCTCGCCTAGATTGCGCTCCCGCTGGGCGCTCCCGCCTAGGCCCCGCACGAAGCCTCTCTCGCCTAAACCGCGCTCCCGCCAGGCGGCAGGGGCGCGGCTTAGGCAAGAGAGGCTTCGTGCAGGGCCTAGCCTTGCACGAAGCCTCTCTCGCCTAGATTGCGCTCCCGCCGGGCGCTCCCGCCTAGGCCCCGCACGAAGCCTCTCTCGCCTAAACCGCGCTCCCGCCAGGCGGCAGGGGCGCGGCTTAGGCGAGAGAGGCTTCGTGCAAGGCTAGGCCCTGCACGAAACCTCCCTCGCCTAGATCGCGATCCCGCCGGCTGGCAGGAACGCGGGTTAGGCGAGAGAGGCTTCGTGCAAGGCAGCCATTTTGAGGGGGCGGGACAGGGCAGGAAAGGGCGGGGCTTGGAGGGGAGGAAGAAGGAGGGGGAGGAGGTGAGATTGGGGAAGAAGGAGGAGGTAAGAAGGGGAAGGGAGGGGTGGTGAGTTAGCAGCGTGTGTCTTTGTGTGGAAGGCAGGGGGGTTTGTTACCGGCGTTTGGTTGTGTTGCAGGGGAGGGAGGGGGCGTGTTTTACTGGGAGGGGGCGTGTCTTACCGGAGCTGCGTTGGAGGAGGGAAGGAGTGTTTCAGGGCCGGAAGGGGTGGGGGGAAGTTGCGATGCGTGTGTGTGTGTGTTTGTGGGCGGCGACGTGTTCGTGCTGGGCGAGGGAGGGAGGGAAGTGCGGAGGGTGCATTGGCCGTTCGGCCATGTGTGTGCGCGCGCTGGGGGCTTTGCTCCAGTGCGCATGCTCAGTTGTTTTGGCAATTTATCGTTGTGTTGTTGTGTTGTTTTCAATTCTGAGTGGATTAGTTTGTACCGAGTGGGTTGTCCTTGGGGCATGGCAATTTTGGTGCAGTTTCGTTGGGGGGTTGTGGAGTTTTGCTGTCCGGTTGAACCAACCTAACAGATTTATATATATAGATGCTGTGGAATAATGTTTTCCTGGTACTTTGAAATGTATTACAAAAGTTTGGGTCTTACTTTAGAACATTGCTTGGAATATTTTGTTCCTGCTTATCTTCCTACCTTATTGGAATCATCTATTTTCTTAAAGCATATTTTCACCTGGCTGTTTTCACTTATCTTCAGTAAAAAAAAAAAAAAAAGGATTGTTTTCCTATTCAACGTGTGGTGTTTTAAAATCAGAGGGTTTGCATTTCATGTATTTTGCTTGTTTTATTGTGTTTGTGTTATAGCTTGTATTGTATTGATGGGCATGGCCTCATGTAAGCTGCACCGAGTCCTCCTTGGGGAGATGGAGCGGGATATAAATAAAGCATCATCATCATTATTATTATTATTATTATTATTATTATTATTATTATTATTCCTGTTCTGGAGTGCAACACAGAATGGCAAACATGTAATGCCAAATTGTAAGGCTATGTATTATACCCCATCCTTAAACTTCTTGTTTTGATGCCCTTCTCTCAGTTCTTTCAGGGTCTTTCCACATAGCTATATTATCCAGAATATCAAGGTAGATAATCCACAATACCTGCTTTGAACTGGATTATCTGAGTCCACACTGCCATACAATCCAGTTCAATGTGGATTTTATACAGCTGTGTGGAAGGGGCCTTATTTATTTATTTATTTTTGACATCTGTATGCCTTCTAACCCTGAAGGGGACTCAGAGCAGATTACAAGATATATATAGGTAAAGGTAAAGGTTGTCCCCTGACATTAGGTCCAGTCGTGTCTGACTCTGGGGATTGGTGCTCATCTCCATTTCTAAGCTGATGAGCCTGCGTTGTCCGTAGACACCTCCAAGGTAATGCGGCCGGCATGACAGCATGGAGTGCCGTTACCTTCCTGTTACCTTCTACTCAAATTTGCATGTTTTCGAACTGCTAGATTGGTAGAAGCAGGGGCTAACAGCGGGAGCTCATCCCACTCCCTGGCGTTGTCTGTAGACACCTCCAAGGTAATGCGGCCGGCATGACCGCATGGAGCACCCTTACCTTCCCATTACCTTCTACTCACATTTGCATGTTTTCGAACTGCTAGATTGGCAGAAGCTGGGGCTAACAGCAGGAGCTCACCCCACTCCCTGGATTCGAACCTGCGACCTTTCGGTTTACAAGCACAGATGTTTAACCCACTGTGTCACCGGGGGCTCCCACAAGATATTTATACATACAATATTACAATATATTAAATTATTAGCATAGTACAATATCAGTATTATATATTTCTATATTGTACTATACCATTATATTGTAATATTATTAGTAATATTACATGTCATATAAAATATATAATTATAATATCATATTAGTAGTAGTAGTTCTTATATCCCAGGATCTGATCCCAGGTTATCTCCTTTGAACTGGATTATATGAGTCCCCACTGCCATATAATCTGGGATAAACAGATAATCTGGGATCAGATCCTAGGGTATAGGGCCTGTCTCGAAGGGCCATAGTTTACAGAATTGTATTGTATAGTATTAGTTGGGCCTATTTTTAGTTGCTCTTAAGCAGGCACAAACTACATTCATTTGGCATCTACTAAGGATGCTGGTGAGCTTGAGAGTCTACTGCGGGGGAAGGGAACTACAATCCCCAGGATGCAACGGGGGCGCGCGCTGTGGGCGGGGCGTGGAAGGACTGCCTTTCTGGCCTGGCTCTAGCCCACGTGGGTGGGTGCAACATGGCGGGTTTTGTGGATCTGAACATCCCTCACTTGCCGGAGAAGGAGGCGCTTCGGAAGTTGGTGGAAACCGCGGCGCACCGTGAGTGGGTGTCAGGGGCAGGGAATCAGGCAGCCCGGGAGCACTTGGGAATGCGTGGACACGTGTTTCCCTCAGAGATCCAGACCCAGGGCTGTCTGGCACTGTTTATCCTTTCCCTTTGCTCTCTTTGGACCCTCTTCTGCCTTAACTAATTTGTCCCTTAGCTCCATAAGAAACACCCTCTGATGCACTTTGACTTGGGGTGCATCTACACTGTAGAATGAATGCGTTACAACTGCACTTTGCACTAGATCAATGCTATGAGATCGTGGGAGTTGTAGTTTGATCAGGTCTTTAGCCTTCTTTACCAAAGGGCCCTTCCAGACATGCCCTGTATCTCAGGATCTGATTCCAGTTTTTTCTGTTTATCCCAGATTATCTGGCAGTGTGGATTCATATAATCCAGTTTAAAGCAGACAACTTGGGATCTCTAGGTTGCGGTAGGTTTTCCGGGCTATATGGCCGTGTTCTGGAAGCATTATCTCCTGACGTTTCGCCTGCATCTATGGCAGGCATCCTAAGAGGTTATGACCTCACAACCTCAGAGGATGCCTGCCATAGATGCAGGCGAAACGTCAGGAGAGAATGCTTCTAGAGCATGGCCATACAGCCCGAAAAACCTACAACAACCCAGTGATTCCAGAAATGAAAAGCTTTCGACAATAACTTGGGATCTGATCCTGGGATATAGGGCCTGTCTGGAAGGGCGAAACTACAAATCCCATGATCACATTGTATAGAACCAGGGTAATAAATTCTTCAGTGTAGATGTAGCCCTTTACTGAGTCATCATATTCATCCATGTAAGGGCCCTTCCACACAAACCTATATTCCAGAATGTCAAGGCAGAAAATCCCGCAATATCTGCTTTGAACTGGGTTATCTGAGTCCACACTGCCATATAACCCAGTTTGAAGCAGATAATGTGAGATTTTATACAGCTGTGTGTAAGTGGCCTTAGCTGCCATATAAAATCCAGATGATCCGCTTTAACTGAATTATACGACAATGTAGACTCATATAATCCAGTTCAAAGCAGATAATAATTTATTTCTTACCCGTCTCTCTGCAGCCAAATAATGTTGGTTATATCTGCTTTGATAATCTGGATTATATGGCAGTGTAGAAAGGTCCCCAGTTTCTGAATACAGATTGTCTGGTTTAAATGGGATTATATGATAGTATACATCCAGGCCCCTTCTACACTACAGAATATCAAGGCAGAAAATCCCACAATATCTGCTTTGAACTGGGTTATCTGAGTCCACACTGTCATATATCCCAGATCAGTGTCAAATTATGTTATCATCTTACAAATTAAGCACCAAAACATCATGTCTTACAACAAATCAACAGAAAAAGCAGTTCAATATATGGTAACGTTATGTAGTAATTACTGTATTTACGAATTGAGCACCAAAACATCGCAATGTAGTGAAACAGGTGGGAGGCAAATTGTGTTGGATAATACAAAATATTGGATGAGCAAAGGTTGGATAAGCGAGACTCTACTGTAATAATTAGATTTCTTACCCGCCTATCCCTGCAGCTCAGTCATGTGGATTATCTGCTTTGATAATTTGGATTATATGGCAGTGTAGAAAGGCCCCCAGTTTCGGAATCCAGATTATTTGAACTGGATTAGATCGAGGTCCCTTCTACACTGCCAGTTGATCCAGAATATCAAGGCAGAAAATCCCATAATATCTGTTCTGAACTGGGTTATCTGAGTCCACACTGCCATGTATTTCAGTTCAAAGCAGAAAATGTGGGATTTTATTCAGGTGTGTGGAAGGAGCCACAGAATATCAAAGCAGACAATCAACATTATCTGATATCTCTTTCCGCTTCTGTCCCCATCTACACTGCCCTATCATGCAGTATGGTCAGTGTAAATGCATTTCAAGGCATTATATGAATCTACACTAACTATACAAGTCATGTACACAACATACTTTGAATGATCACAAATTGCAAAATGAGTGATTACTTTTCTTGCTAACATACACCGAATTGAATCAGTTTGCACCAAAATTTAATTCCTTTGTGTTTGCTTGGTATACAAGGAGCACTATTCATATAATCAATGGATTGTTATTTTTATGCTGATTTTTTGAAATTAATCTTCTTGTGAAAATAAAATTCAGCTTATTGGCTGAAGACCTGTGAGGTTTGGATGTGATGTTGTCTAACTACTTTATAATGACAATAATATTGACTAACTACAGTTGGCTCTCTGTAGCCACAAAATTTGCCTCTATTATCTCTTCTACATCGCCTTATAAAATCCAGATTATCTGCTTTGAACAAGATTATATGGCAGTGTAGACATATAATCCAGTTCAAAGCAGATCATGTTGATTATCTACTTTTATTTTTTTTTGTCGTGTCAGGAGCGACTTGAGAAACTGCAAGTCCCTTCTGGTGTGAGAGAATTGGCCGTCTGCAAGGACGTTGCCCAGGGGACACCCGGATAATGTAATGTTTTTATCATCCTTGTGGGAGGCTTCTCTTATGTCCCTGCATGAGGAGCTGGAGTTGATAGAGGGAGCTCTTCTGCCTCTCCCCAGATTCGAACCTGCGACCTATCGGTCTTCAGTCCTGCCAGCACAGGGGTTTAACCCACTGCGCCACCGGGGGCTCCATATCTACTTTGATAATCTGGATTATATGGCAGTGTTGAAAGGGCCCAAAGAATAAATTTGTGATAGCAAAATTGCATAAGAAGTAGTGAAAAATAGAAGTGGCTGCAGTCCAAAGTTTTTTGATTTCTATGTTGTGTTCTCAAATATATTAAGAAACTGATCTCTCCCAACCCCTTGAACCAACTCCACTGATTTCTTTGACTAGATAATCTGCAGTATTTTAGGAAGGAACAAGTTGTTATTTTTTCATCGGAGAGAGTTTTTTTCAGGCTTCTCTTCCTTGGTTACCGACAAATCCTGACATGCAAAGTATGAACTCGTTTATCTTGAGCACACCAGAATTTCTGTTTCCAGGGAAGTAATTGAACTTAAAATTGTGTTCTGTCTCCTCCAGTATCGCAAATTAAGTTGTTACTAGCTAGCTGTTTTCCCCCTGTATATTGTGTCTAGAAATTGCATGCTGTTCATTGCATGGCAAACAAATTATGTCTACTATACATCAATATAAGGATAATTCCTGACACAACTCCTACATCAGAATAAATCTGCTCCTGGCTTGCAATTGTGTTACTGTCAGCATGAAAGATTGCAGAAAGAATCTATCATTGAAAGTTCATGTCTAGGATGATGCAAAATTTGGAAATGTTTGTTTTTTGTACTACAGCTCCCAGAATTCCTCAGGCCCCTTCTACATTGCCATATAAAATCCATATTATCTGCTCAGATAATCTGGATTATATGGCAGTGTAGAAGAGGCCCGAGGCCCCATCTACACTGTCATATAAAATCCATATTATCTGTTTTGAACTAGATTATATGGCAATATTTGTTTGTTTATTTATTTGCAGTATTTATATTCCGCCCTTCTCACCCTGCAGGAGACTCAGGGTGGATTACAATGTACATATACATGGCAAAACATTCAGTGCCATAGACACACAACATTTATAGACAGACACAGAGGCAATTTAACATTCTAACTTTTCATGAGGGTATTCTGGTCACCAGGGGAGCTGTCGCTTCAAGGTCCATTTGTGACACTGATGAAGTACTCCCTCATTCTTTGCATGCTTGTTGGAGATTTTTATGGCATCGTAAATTAGTTAAATTAGCCTCCCCACATAGGCGGTAACTAAATTTACTACTTGACAGATGCAACTGTTTTTCGGGCTGCAAAGGTCGACAGCAAGCTAAACAAATTGATCAGAAGCTCACTCCGCCCCGGGCTAGCTTCAAACTCATGACCTTTCAGTCAGTAGTGATCTTAATGCCGCTGACTCCCAGCTAGCTGCACCACAGTCCCGGTGCAATGTGGACTCATATAATCCAGTTCAAAGCAGATAATGTTGATTTGATAATCTGGATTATATGGCAGTGTAGAAAGGGCCTCCGTTAACCAGGTCACATGAATGGTAGTTTCTGGGATCCATGGTTTGTGACAGTAATTCTATCTAGCTATGTTGTTAAAAACTGTGCTAATCATTGAATTTTGTCTTGTTTTATTTATAGTTGGCTACTCGACTGTAGCAATCAATTATGTTGTTGATTATGAAGAAAAGAAAAAGGTAAGATTTCTATTGATGCATCTCTGTGAGGTGGCTGTTCCCAATTGGATGCCTTGCAGACATATTGGGTCACCTTTTCCATCATTGCAGTCATCATTAACTTTCATAGGTTTGTAGTGTATCATCTTATTCTGAAACAATAGAAGTTAACACCTGTAACACTACAATGCGCTGGCTGCTGTCCTATAACTATTGGTAATTATGGCTATACAAGCCTAATGGCAAAGATGATTTTTATGGAATATGGAACTGGCTTGCGGCACTTTATAAAGGAAATGAGATGTAGTGGTAAAAGAAAGGATTATATTGCAAATCCTTTAAAGTAAAAAAGAAACATTGCACTGTTTGACTTTTTAAAGGGCTGCAATATGTGGCAAAGCAGAGAGTTCTGCTGAATTAAGTCTGCTTTGAAACTACAGGCATCATTCTACACATGCATGGATCAGGGTAAAGGGTCCTTGTGAAAGTGAAAAACTATTAGTAAAGGAATTAACTAAAGTGTTGAACTGTTAGCTGCCCCACGGGAAGAAAGGCAGAGTATAAATAAAGTTAATAATAATCAATAATAATACTTCATTATTGAAGGAAGCTGACTGTAGAGTCACATTGGAGGATTTAGGTTGGTCTACACTGTCTACAACAGTGACCCCCCCCCCCCCCAGTGGCGCAGTGGGTTAAACCGCTGAGCTGCTGAGCTTGTTGACTGAAAGGTCGCAGGTTCAAATCCAGGGAGCGGCATGAGCTTCCGCTGTCAGCCCCAGCTTTTGCCAACCTAGCAGTTCGAAAACATGCAGATGTGAGTTATCTTCTGTGGGAAGATAACAGCGCTCCATGCAGTCATGCCGGCCACATGACCTTGGAGGTGTCTATGGACAATGCCAGCTCTTCGGCTTAGAAATGGAGATGAGCATCACACCCCAGAGTCAGACACGACTGGACTTAATGTCAAGGGAAAAACCTTTACCTTTACACTGTCTATATCCCAGGATCGTATCTCAGCTTATCTGCTTTGAACTAAGTTATATGAGCCTACACTGCTAGATAATGCGGGATCAGATTATGGGATATAGAGCAGTGTGGAAGGGGCCTTAGAGTATCCCAGATAAAGCATTTTAAATTAAATTAAACATACAAAAGTCAAAATCACAAATATGGAGGGGTGACTGCATTACCACTCTAGGGCAGTCGTATCTCTGCAGGGATGTCCTAAGTGTTCCCATCTCCCCAAATGCACATACAGGGCTTGGAAAATTAATTCCTTTGGACTATAACTCATAGACCCCTTCCACACAGCCATATATACTAGAATACCAAGGCAGAAAATCCCACAATATCTGCTTTGAACTGCTTTATCTGAATCCACACTGCCAAATATTCCAGCTCAAGGGAGATAATGTGGGATTTTATTCAGCTGTATTGAAGGGGCCTTAGACTCATCCAACTCCTGGACATACTGGATGGAGAATTATGGGAGTTGTAGTTCAAGAAAGTAATTCTTCTAAGATCGTATAACTTCAATTTGGGTAGCCATTTGGATCATAAACCAGGCTTCAAAGTTGACTTGCTAGCAATATCTCTATTCAGCCGCCCAAGGCCCTGCATCAGATATTATAACCTTACAATGCCTGAGTTAAGTTACACAACCATGATGATGCACAGTGGGGCACCACAAAAGATGTCCCATTACAAAATGAGGACATGTTGGGCATCAGGACCATTGTACAGTAGTCATGCTATTGGCTTCTCTTTCGAAATGGTCCTGATAGTGTAGCTACCTCTCTGCTCCCTTCGGAGCATATGAACATATGCAACAGTGCAATTGCACAAAATTTGAAAACAACCTTCTGTTCCTGGTTTGAAAGTGGTATTTCCTGTTTAATTGTGCGGTACTTACTTTGAAAGTATAGGGTGAGGCAGCATAACTTCCTTTTTTAGAATGTGCGCCATTCAGTTGGTTGAAGATGTAGTGGAGCGCTTGTGGTCTCGTTTGAGAGGCAAGAGTATAAAGTTTTGTCCTGACACAGTTCATTGACATCATATGTTGGAACAGTGAGGAGCGTGCTTTTGCCGTTGAGGCCTACTTTTTGAGCGGATTTGGGGTGGCTGGCCCGCTCACCAGATTTGGCTCCTTGTGATTTTTTTTCTATGGGTTTTTTTGAAATCCCGTGTTTATGTGAATCGTTCAAGGACCCTACAAGATTTGAAGACCAACATCCAGGAAGTAATTGCCAACATAATGCCTGCTAGGCTGGCAAGAATCATGACAAATGCCAAATACTCAGTGTATGGAGAATGGGGGACGTCACTTACCTAATTTGATCTTCAAAACTACGTAAAACACAACTTTAGGTATGCGCCTACATTATTAAAAAAATAAAAATTTCTGATTCATACAATGGGTTTTATTAAGTTGTGAAAAAAGGAAGCTATGCTGCCTCACTCTGTAGTTGTTATCCTCCAGAAGCTTCATTTTTGTGGTTGCCACAAACTGTGTTGAATTGGTTGAGACTCAATGAGATATTCATTGTAAAGCTATAGCAAAATGTGCTGAAGGGTGTCCTGCAATTTAATAAACTTTCCCCCTGTTTTTATGATAGAACCAATTAGAAAATGAAATTTATAACCCAGGAACAAACATTGTGTTTCATAGTATTATAAATTGGATTATTAAATGATTTAACTTCTCAACAGTACGCAAGCCATAGTTTCTTCATCAGCTGGAGATTTTTTTAAAATGCAAGGAAAAATGGGAGTAGAGGAGCGATGATGCATCCGTTATTAACATGTATGTACAGTAATAGTATATGAGGGAGACTGTGCAGACTTATCAGTTTGGGCTTCTCAGTGGCCCTATGCTTTTGAGAACAAGAAAGTGAATAAAAGAAGAACAACAAAATCTGGCTATTTATTTGAGAAAAAATAAACTTACTTTTTACATTTGTTAAAGGTCCTTAATTGGGTTTTCTTGATTTTAGGAAATTGTCAAGCCAATATCTCCTGCTGAATTGTTTCCGACTTTGCCTCGTGTGCAGGTATGTCTTTTGTAACTCATTTCATAATCTAAAATATTTGTATAGTTCTGTGAACATGGTTGTGGCTGTGATCCTACATTCACTTAGAATCATACAATTATAGAGTTAGAAGAGACCTTGTGGGCCAACCAGTCCAACCCACTGCCAAGAAGTAGGAAAATCACATTCAAAATACCCCCGATAAATGGTTATCCAGTCTCTGTTCAAAGCCTCCAAAGAAGGAGCCTCCACCACACTCCGGGGCAGAGAGTTCCACTGCTGAACAGCTCTTACACTCAGGAAGTTCTTCCTAATATTCAGGTGGAATCTCCTTTCCTGTAGTTTCCTGAAGACTAGGATGTTCCGCATCCTAGTCTTCAGGGCAGCAGAGAACAAGCTTGCTCCTTCCTCTCTATGACTTTCCCTCGCATATTTATTCATGGTCATCATGTCTCCTCTCAGCCTTCTCTTCTTCAGGCTTAATATGCCCAGGTCTTTAAGCCACTCCTCATAGGGCTTGTTCTCCAGAACCTTGATCATTTTAGTCACCCTCTTATGGATGCATTCCAGGTTGTCAATATCTCCCTTCAATTGTGGTGCCCAGAATTGGACACAGTATTCCAGGTGTGGTCTGACCAAGCCAGAATAGGGGGGTAGCATGACTTCCCTGGATCTAGACACTATGCAGGCCAAAACCCCATTGGCTTTTTTAGCTGCTGCATCATATTATTTGCTCATGTTCAACTTCATGTCCACAAGGACTCCAAGATCTTTTTCACACGTACTGCTCTTGAGCCAGGCGTCCCCCCATTCTGTATCTTTGCATTTCATTTTTTTCTGCCTAGGTGGAGTATCCTGCATTTGTCCCTGTTGAACTTCATTTTGTTAGTTTTGGCCCATCACTGTAATCTGTTAAGGTCCTTTTACAATCTTACTTAAAATAAATTCTGTTGTACTTTTCCAAGTCATGATCTACTTACATTGTGCTCCCTGATAAACAGTATGTACTAACTTTTTATTCATGTGTTGGATCTTTTGGTTTTAAACATTTTAATGCCTACGCTTAACATTCGTACAGTCAGTTCCATCTCTGGGTTTCTATGGGTTTTCTGGGCTGTATTGCCATGATTCAGAAACATTCTCTCCTGACATTTAGTCCTCTTTTATGGCAGGCATCCTCAGAGGTTGTGAGGTCTGTTGGAAACTAGGCAAGTGAAGTTTATGAATCTGGGAAATCTCCAGTGGGAGAAGGAACTCTTGTTTGCTTGAGACAAGTGTGAATGTTGTAATTGGCCACCTTGATTAGTCTAATGGTCTTGCAGCTTCAAAGCCTGACTGTTTTCTACCTAGAGGAATCCTTTGTTCGGAGGTGTTAGCTGGCCCTGATTGTTTCACGTCTGGAATTCCCCAGTTTTCTGGGTGTTTTTCTTTATTTACTGTCCTAATTTTAGAGTTTTTTAAAATCCTGGTAGCCAGATTTTGTTCATTTTCATGGTTTCCTCCTTTCTGTTGAAATTGTCCACATACTTGTGGATTTCAGTGACTTCTCTGTAGTCTGACAAGGTGGTTGTTAGAGTGGTCCAGCATTTCTGTCTTCTCAACACAGGACAGCAGTCAGAATTCCAACTCCGATTGCTGTCCCTTCATTGCTGCCTCCTGTGGGGCATGTCTATGATAGTCAAGTTTTATACATGCGGTCAGGGATGCTGATAGTTTATTGCAAAGCTTTTTAGATAAACCCTTAATCCCACAGTAAGAAATACAATATGATCCACAGGATCAATATCTGTGGTTTCATATATCCATGTCAAACAAAATTCATATTCAATAGGCATTTTCTAGGTCCTCCATGACCCTATGATATTCTTGGACTAAAGGTTTTTCAATTCAGTAGAGTTCTCCATCATCCATAATTTTGCATATCCACACGAAGTTCAGGAAATATCCCCCATGGATATGAGATTTATATCATATACAACAGCAACAGGGAACCTTTAGCCCTCCACATGTTTAGAGGTACAGGAATCTTCAGCCCAAATAAATAAATAAATAAATAAATTAAAACCAAGGGACAACATCCTACAAACTGTACATCGTTGTCTGACAATAATAATAATAATAAACTTTATTTACACCCCACCACCATCTCCCCAACGGGGACTCGGGGTGGCTTACATGAGGCCAAGCAGTGTGCATAGGAATGTGTTCATGTTTTTTTCTCAAATTCTAGTCAGCCCCCTACTCTCCATTAACAATCTGAGAACCGTGAACTCTGCTTAAACAGTTTGAAGACCATTGCCAATGCCGTCTATGAATTAAAGAAAGGCCAAAGAAGTTCAAACCATAGCAGTATATGGATTTCGAGGGCAAAATAGGTATTTTCATATGGCAGTGCAAAACCATTTTACATAAATGAGGCAGCACACAAATTTAAATGCTTTTAAGTGTGCCTGGACATACATGGAAAGCATAAACAAGTTAGAGGTTTGTGTAGGATTTGTAATTCTCATCTCCGCCAAAGCTAAAGTGAACAAGCAGTTCTCATACAAATTTAAGAAAGTGCCCCATTCTTAGTCACACAATTGGTCCACCTAGCTCAATATTGTCACCAGTATTGGTCCACCTAGCCCAATATTGCCACCTAGATACCTATTTGACCGTCAGTAGGTATCTGGGATTTCATGCAAGCTTCTCTCCAAGCATTTCTTCAGTCCCTTCTACACTGCCATATAATTCAGATTATCAACACAGACAATCCACATTATCTGAACTGGATTATACGGGTCTATATTTCCACTGTTGCACTCCAGGACAGGAAAAGCCCTTTGACTGTAAACATGACACCATTGATTGGAAAACAATCCTTTTATTGAAGATAATTAAAAAATAAAAAGCACTTTAAAGAAATAAGTAAATCCAATTAGGTAAGAAGATAAGCAGGAGCAAAAATAGTCCAAGGTAAAGTTCAGCAAAGTCCATAAAAACAAAGGCCACCCTAATATAATTCAGGAAACCAGGAAACATTAATCCCAAGGCATGAGTAGGCATTCATCCAATCCAAGAATCCAAACCATGAAACAAGAAATACTTAAACTACCATCTTCCCAGCAAGGCTTTCATGAAACAAGGACGAGAACTACACTTGATTCTAAACGATGCTTCATCTGACTATATTTCCCATACTTGGAACTTTTATCCCCTCGTTAAGCTATCCCAAGCACTCAGAAATTGGTTTTGCTTTAATTGAGATTCCCTTATCATTTTCTATCGGATTCTGTCAGACCGCCAAAGCCACAGTTCGGTCTGCCTGTTTTGACTAATCGCCTGCCCCCTATCTATTTGCTCATTAAATTTTGCAGCTGGGCCAGGTGCCCAGTTGTTTTCAAGCCCCAAATCCTGAGAACTCTCTGGTAACAATTCAGGGAGTACACCATCGTCCCCACACCCTTCAGGGACATTCTCATGGGAAACTACACTTTGCACAGGGATCTTCTGGTCCTTTTCTGCATCAGTATCATTGACCAAACCATTGCCATCTTGAAATTCATTAGCATAACTTCCCACATCCAAAGCACCCCGATCCTTAAACACAATCACAGGCTGAATTCCAACAGCCATATAATCCAGTTCAAAGCAAATAATCTGGATTTTGGCTGTAAGCCCCAGAATCCCCAACTACCCCAGAATTTCAATCCAATCTCAATATAATTATGAGCAATTAGAACAAAAGCAAGGGGAAGCAGAATTATTCAGCCGCCCCTTTTCCGTTCCTTTAATTTTCAATTTAGGGGTCGGAGTAGCATCCAGAAGTGGGGCCTGCCTGCAGGCAATAAATACCGGGCTTCACTCTAGCAGTGAGAACTAATAGACTTTCTAAACCAGGAAAGAAAGCCCTTGAATTGGTGAGGACTGTTGCATAAGGGCTATTACTTGACTGTGAACAGTATGGTTCTAAACCTTTTGTCTGGCTGAAAATAGACCTCAATTGCCAGTGCCGATTATGAATTAAAGAAAGGCCAAAGATACATTGTGCTTCTGTGGCGACAAGAGGATTAGTGTGGGCACCAATTGTGAACGCAGTATCCGCTCTCGGTTTTTATACTAATGATGAGTAGGCGGCCTGTTACCTAGGTTTCGGCTTCACTCCTTTTTTTCACACTTTCTTTTCAGGGGAAATCCAAGCCAATTAAGATTTTATCAAGGCTGACGCTTGTTGTTTCTGATCCATCACACTGCAACATTTTGGTAAGTTCAGGGCTTTAAATCATTATTATTATCTCGGTCACCTATTGTTTAGAAACAGGTAATCGTTATGGATTCTTTTTAAAAAATCTGAATACATTGCTAACGTGGAGAACTCTCTTTCACCAGATATTAGGAAGGGCTCCCCATTTAATTTTTTTCAATCTAATTAAATTGTTCATAGATAAAAAATAGCTAAGAAAGTTTTTTGCTTCCTGATCACGATGTCAGGTTGAGTAATGCTCAATTTATTTATTTATTTATTTCCTGTATTTATACCCTGCTCTTCTCACCCCTGAGGGGGGACTCAGGGCGGCCTCACAAACACCATACGGTGTCATCATAATAAAACAATCAACAATACATTAAAATATTAAAAATGTTAAAACAATAATTAAAACAATTGATTAACACATGCCTATTAAAATCAGAGTCTAAAGTCCAGTCCGGGTCAAATCATTGCCATAAGTGTTAAAGTTCTTTTGCTTGCTGCCCACTAATTGAACACTTGGTCCCAAAGCCAGGTCTTGATTTTTCTTCTAAAAGAGAGAAGGGAGGTGGCCATTCTGATGTCTCTGGGGATAGCGTTCCACAGGCGGGGGGGGGGGGGACTGATGAGAAGGCCCTGTCCCTCGTCCCTACCAATCATGTTTGCGATGTCGGTAGGGTCGAGAGCAGGGCCTCTCCAGATCATCTTAAGTTTCATGATGGTTTGTACCAGGAGATAAGTTCAGACAGGTAGTCTGGGCCAGAACTCCCAAGTCCAACTAAGTATTTGGAAAGGAAAAAAAGTAAACGTGGGATGAAAATATAATAATGAAGTAGTAACTTTTTTCCATGAGATCATAGCTGATGACATGAGGCACCTTCATCATCCTTCCTGATGCTAAAGCCAAACCTGAACATACTCAAAAACTGCCAGATAGTAGTAGATAGCAGTCATCACTCCTTTCCACCTGCTGCTTAGCCATGGATGAGGGCAAACAAATTGAAATTGAATCCAAACAAGACAGAGGTACTCCTGGTCAGTCAAAAAACCGAACAAGGTATAGGGTTACAGCCTGTGCTAGACGGGGTTATACTCCCCATGAAGACACGGGTTTGCAGCTTGGGAGTGATCCTGGATTCATTGCTGAGCCTGGAACTCCAGGTTTCAGTTGTGGCCAGGGGAGCATTCGCACAATTAAAACTTCTGTGCCATCTGCCCCTCTACCTTGGAAAGTCAGACTTGGCCACAGTGGCCCATGCTCTTGTCACATCTCGATTAGACTACTGCAATGCGCTCTACGTGGGGTTACCTTTGAAGACTGTTCAGAAGCTTCAAATAGTCCAGTGGGTGGCAGACAGGTTGCTCACCGGAGCGACGTACAGGGAGCATACAACCCCCTATTACGTCAGTCTGCTACCGAGCACACTGCCAGTCTGCTACCGAGCACAATTCAAAGTGTGGGCTTTAGCCTATAAATTTATTTATTTATTTATTTATTTATTTATTTATTTATTTATGGTATTTGTACCCCGTCACTTCTCTACCTCCGGGGGCTTAACGGTTCCGGTCCAGCTTACCTGTCTGAATGTATCTCCCTTTATGAACCAGTTCAAGTGTTAAGATCTGCTTCTCTCAGTCCTACTGCCTTCGCAAGCTCGATTGGTGGGAACGAGAGACGGCCTTCTCAGTGGTGGCTCCTTGGCTGTGGCACTCCCTTCCCAATGAGATCAGATCAGCCTCCTCCCACCTGATATTTAGGAAACAAGTCAAGACTTGGCCAGTGAAATGCAATTTAACATTCCATCACAATACAAATATAATTAAAGCAGCCGAAATTTGATTATGGGATTATCTGCTTTATGATGTGCAACATGTTTGATGGTTTTAATTTGTATTTATATGTTTATTGATTTTAGTTGAATTATGTTATGTATTATTTTTTGCATGTATAATGTGGCATTGAATTTTGCCAAGATGTAAGCTGCTCTGAGTCTCCTTTGGTGTGAGATAGAGTGGGATATAAGTGGAGTAAATAAAAAAAATATAGGATAGTCTCCCATTCTTCCCAATGTTCTAGTCTACTCTAAAACAACAAACAATCATCATCATCATCATCATCATCATAAAAGGCTAAAACACCAGTTGGTCATCTGAGGATAAAATGACATAGTGGCAGTCTAGGAGGTAATAATAAAAAAACTTTAATACCTAACTACTTAGAGGCATTTATATGTTCCAGACCAATGACGGTTTCCAGGTTCACCCTATTCTATTTTAAACTCCTTAATGCAACTAAATCTGGCCATTCATGAATGAATCAATTAATAATTTGATTTAATGTGTTGTCAAAGGCTTTCATGGCTGGAATCACTGGGTTGCCTTGAGTTTTCTAGGCTATATGGCCATGTTCCAAAAGCATTGTTGGCCTAATATCAGGAGAGAATGCTTCTGGAACATGGCCATACAGCCCGGAAAACTCAAGACAACTCAATAATCTGATTTTGTGTAAAGGAGGAGACACATGCTTGGGTCTTTCAATTGTGTTATAGACAGATGAGTCGCCTGAAGGCTGAGAAGGGTGGTATACAAATACAGTAAATAAAATAAAATAAATATGTTGGAGTCTTTTTACAGCACATGGCCTCCATATTTTTTTCAATTTTAAATCCTCAGTTAAAACTACATTTTACTACTAATTATTGTGTTTTTAATGTTGTAGATACTAAGGGACCTTGAAAAAGTTATTTGTCTGAATTACAGCTATAACTCTTGAGGTACAGTTGGGTTGTTCCAGGAGTTGTATATCCCATACTAACATTTACAAGTTCTCGATAAGTGGTTCTTAAATTGTGGCCCGCGGACCACCAGTGGGCCGCGAGGATGAAAATCTGGTCCATGAGCTTCCTTCCTCTTTATTTTATTTTATTTCCGCTCCTTTTGCGCCGCCTGCAACTCCTACCCTGTCGCCGACCATGGCATATGTTCTGTATCAGAAACTAGAGCTAATGTGGTCTATCCAATGCAATTTTCTGAATCAACACCCCAAACCGAATCTAAAGTTGTCAAAAATTGATTCGTAACCTTTTTGGTACTAATGTTGGGAACTTGTCCCTGGTTTTTTTTTTTTTTTTTTAAAGTTGAGAACCACTGTTCTAGATGTTACTTTGCTTTGTGTATATTTCAAAAAAAATCACAATTAAAATAAGGATTTAATTGTCTGTTTTCAACTTAGAATTATTTATTTAGAAGTTTTCTATACCGGCCTTCTCACCTCAGCGAGGGACTCAGGTCGGTTTACAGCATATATGAAAATACAATATCTGAAATATTGCATTTTCCACAGCTTTAGTGCTAGATAAAATAGGTTGAAAATATTGTCCATAGGAACGTGTTAACCATTCATTTGCATGACATATTGTGCTTTGTGACTTAAATCAGAAATATTATTTTAACTGGGATAATCTGGTAAATGTTTCCTGAATTGCCTTTTATTCATTCCTTCCCCTAGAGATCATCATCTACAAACATAAAGTTCTACGACATCTTCGCTGTATTTCCTAAGAATGGGAAACTCTTCCATGTGAGTAAGAAACATCTGAACTATTTAATAACATAGAAGGAAATCATGTTTGGCTTTTATCTAAGGCCCCTTCTACACTGTCATACAACTCAGATTATCAATGCAGATAGTCCACATCTGCTTGGAACTGGATTATATGAGCCTACACTGCCTTGTAATTCAGTTCAAATTAGATAATCTGGATTGTATACGGCAGGGTAGAAGGTATCTGAGATGGTAAAATATCCAGGGAATGAAACTCAGATTTCTAAGAGTTAAACTCGTGAAACACTGGTTTTAGGCCTTTCTACACTGCCATATAATCCAGATTATCGAATCAGATAATCCGTATTATGTGCTTTGAACTGGATTATATGAGTCTACACTCCCATATAATCCAGTTCAAAGTAGATAATCTGGATTTTATATGGCAGTGTAGATGGGGCTTTAGATAGACACAATTCTTAGTTTCATTTCATCCAAAACTTCTTTCATTACAGATACATATATGAATTATAGCAGACTAAGGCCCCTTCTACACTACCAGATTATTTGCTTTTAATTTGATTATATGGCAGTGTAGACTCATATAATCCAGTTCAAAAGTAGATAATGTGGATTGTGTGCTTTGATAATCTTGATAATATGACAGTAGAGCCAGTCTAAATTCCATCTGAACCTTGGGATGGTAACTATAGGGCACTTTGACTTTGGACCTTGGATTAGTCTAAGGTCCCTTGTACACTGCCATATGATCCAGATTATTAAAGCATATAATCCACATTATCTGCTTTGAATTGGGTTATATGAGTCCAAACTGCCATATAACCCAGTTCATAGCAGATAAACTGGATTTTATATAGCAATGTAGAAGGGACCTAAAATTCCTGTATCCACCAGGTGGCATTGTTGTCTCAATTATGGGAAATAAATTGGGCTTAATTTCCCATTTATTTTCGCTGAAAAGGTGCTACTTTCCTCTTTGAGTGCCTACTATTTTGAAAACGTAGAAGGGCATGGTAATTTTACAAAAATAGATTTTTCTGACATTGTCATGCTAAATTTGTATTTATTATTATTATACTCTCATGAATGTAATGGCAAGATTGGGCAGCTATGGAAGGCGTGCTGTGTATGTGACTGGTGTACTGTATAATCTTGTTGTGAGGTTCAGAGTCTGTATGCAAAGCACGGAGACAACAGAGTTCTGCATAAATAAATAACTTTCAATATTTTGAGAAAGAGAGCAGGATTTCCATTTTCTCTGAAACACAGCCTGACTTATTTGTTTGTTTGTTTGTTTCAAACACTTTTACCCCGGCCTTCTCAAACCCTGGAGGGAATCAGGGTGGCTCCCAATTGGCAACAATTTGATGCCGCATAATAAAATACAAAACACCAATAATTACAATAGTAAAAAAACATAAAAACATTAAAGCAATATACTTACAGTCTACCGAACTATTACCAGCCGTATGCTATGATTGAGTACTCCATTAAACTTCTCCACAATCCATTTCCAAGCCATTGTCATTGTCAATTGTCATTTCCGCCTAATTACCCGAAGGCCTGGTCCCACATCCACGTTTTTACCTTCTTTCTAAAGGTGAGGAGGGATGACGATGACCTAATTTCCCCGGGGAGTGAATTCCACAAGCGGGGGGGGGGGGGGCTAGGGGCACCACCGAGAAGGCCTTGTCCCGGTAGGCTGTTAGGAATTGTGGGAGTTCAAGTCCAAAACACCCAGGGGACAAAGTTTACCCATTACTGCTTTAGATGCTAGGCTCATTGAGACTGTTATGCTTTGACACACATACACTTCCCCATACATACACATGTAGACTGGCATCTTGTATGTGACATACACAAATATAGGTTGTAGAGTGCTGCACAGGGAGGAACTATGTGCAGTGGGTGCATTTGTCTATTGGAGATTGTGGTGTGTTAAAATACACAGAGGCACGTCTAAACGTACACAGCGCCTATCCCTTTCACTGGTACACATATGTTGTGTCATGTTGGTATTCAGCATGGAAGTTACAAGATGTAAATCTGCTGGCTAATATCAACACTGCTGAAATAATGGGCCATACTAACTACCATAGAAAATCACATTAATTGATAGTAGCAGTGAAGTTTTCAAGTTATGCAGTTTAGTATACACTAGATCTCTGCTTTTTTTTTTTTACAGTAGATGTGTATGCGTGTCAAAGCATTGTGGGAGTTGAAGTCCAAAACACCTTTGTGCTTTGACACCCGTACACTTCCTCATACATACATTTATTCTACAGCTGGAAAGATTCTCAAAGCATCTTTAGTTTCAGGGGGGAAAAGAAGCATCTTCTTCTCAAGATTATAGAGTGAAAAAGTGGGGAATAACAGGAAAGTAGGATGCGGGAGACAAAAAAAATGGAATGCTCTCCTCTGAACAGGATTTGTATTCTATCTATGCAATGCTAACAGGAAAGCATCCAATATTATTACTAGGCTTGCTTGATAAAAAAATTGGTACAAAATTCGTTTCAGATGTAGGGAGCGCTGGTGGTTCGATTCGGAATTGAATTCCGATTTTCACAGAAAAAAATGTTCAAAACTTCTGAGACTTCCAAATCCTTCCTTAATGGTTTGAAAGTGTTATTTCCTGTTTCGTTGGGTGGTCTTTACTTTGAAAGTAGTTGTTTCAAAGTAAAGGGAGGAAATTCATCCTTCCCAAGCTTGAGACAAAAGCGGTGGGGCGGGAGGGGGGAGGAAATTCATCCACTCTGGTTTAAAATGGCTTCCCAGGCTTGAGACACAAGCTGGGGGTGAGGAAAGGAAATTCATCCACCCTGGTTTAAAACAGCTTCCCAGGCTTGAGACACAAGGGGGGAGGAGGAAAGGGAGGAGATTCATCCATTCTGGTTTAAAACGGCTTCTCTGGCTTGAGCCAAGGCCAGGGACCAGAAGCAGGGAAAAGCTGAATCATTTCCGACTCATTTACTGCTTCATAACAGAAATGGGGAAAAAAGCTTTGGAAGAGCAAAGGAACTTCCGGTTTCCTTGAAAACTTCGAAATCGCTTCAAAAAGCAAATCTTTCCAAATTTATTCTGAATTACGAAGATTCTGACCTAACCTAACCATGCCTATTATTTACATATGAAAGAATTTTTTTTGCAGGTCTACTGCTTTTTAAAGAGATAATTCTGTTTTGTTTTAATGCAGGTGGCTTGTACAACTTTAGATGTGGATCTTGTGTGTATCAATGTGACAGAAAAGCTGCCCTTCTATATCAAGAGACCATCTGTCAGTGTGGTAAGATAGCCAGGAAATTTGGTGCACTCACCTGACATTCCTCATCAGGAATGCCAAGCTATGTTTATTTGTGTGTGAATGTGTTATTTTCCCTCTGTCTTCTTCTTGTCTAATGTTCTATATTTAGCTAGATTAGAAAAATACATTGAATCTGAGGCCTCTTCTACACTGCCATATAAAATCCAGATTATCTGCTTTTAACTGGATTATATGGCATTGTAGAAGGGGCCTGTGTCAACATTTGTGATCCCAGAACTGTCTAAATGTGCTAGACTACAATCCCCATGTGCAATGCTAGATGGGGATTATTTATTTATTTATTATTTCTTTCCTGTATTTGTATACCGGCTTTCTCAGTCCATAGGTGACTCAAGGCAGTTAACAGGACAAAAATCAATGCTTACATTGTCATAAACACAATTAAAAACATAACATATAATAAAAACTAAACAAATCAATAAAATATACATTCATAATGTCTCCCTGTTAAAAACGTTGTCTGGACTCATCGTAATAATATAGCATTTATTGTCAAACATATCTAAAGGGCCCAAATGGGGAGGACTCTTTTATGTTGTTCCCAATTAGAAAATCATCTAGTTCTGTTATGGAGCTCTAGTAATCCTTCTACACTGCACTGCAATATAATATTATGATTCCACTTTAACTTCCATGGCAACATCCTGTAGATTCTAGAATTATATACCTTCATGTGAAGATGATCATGTTTGTTGCTACAGTAGAGTCTTGCTTATCCAACCTTCGCTCATCCAACGTTCTGTATTATCCAATGAAGTCTGCCTCCTGCCCGGATCCACAGTTTTTCAAAACATTGCGATGTTTTGGTGCTAAATTTGCAAATACAGTAATTACAACATAATGTTGAACTGTTTTTTTCTGTCACTTTGTTGTAAAACATAATGTTTTGGTGCTTAATTTGTAAAACCCTGACCCGGGCTTTGAACTGTCGACCTTTTGGTTGGCAAGATTCACTGCAGCTGGTGGTTAACCTGCTGTGCTAAAGCCCAGCCCTATATATATACATATTATATATATAGATATATATTATATCCAGATTATATGAGTCTACACTTCCATATAACCCAGTTCAGAGCAGATAATCATGAATTTATATGGTAGTGTAGAAGGGGTCTCAACCTGTATAATAAAACCTATGGTTTTAGTTAATGCCACGAGAATGCAAATGTATATTATTGTTGTTTTAAAATGTTTATTTTATGATGTTTTATACTTGTCATCAATGTATTTGGGTTGTTGTTTACATGATTTTAATATGTTGTAAGTCATTTTGGGTCCCGTGAGGGAGAAAAGTGGGATATAAAGAAAGTTATTGTTGTTGTTGTTGTTGTTGTTGTTTCTTCAATTGTGTCTGATTCCACCGATGATGGAATTGAACTCATCTTGGCACACTGAACTCCAATGACAAACATAGAATACTGGAAGGGTTTGGTGGACATTGACCTTGAGTTTTGGAGTTATAGTTCACCAACATCCAGAGAGCACTGTGGGCACAAACAACCTTGGATCTGGACCAAACTTCGCACGGATACTCGAAATGACCAAATGTGAACACTGGTGGAGTTTGGGGAAAATAGACCTTGACATTTGGGAGTTGTAGTAGCTGGGATTTATAGTTCACCTACAATCAAAGAACATTCTGAATCCCGCAAATGAGAGAATTGGGGCAAACTTCCCACACTGAACCCCCATGACCAACAGAAAATACTTAAGGCCATCCAGTCCAACTCCCTTTACCGGAGCAAGAAAACTTAATCAAAGCTCTCCTAACAAAGAGCCATCAAGCCATAGATATAGATAGATATATATGATTCACACACACACAGATATAGTATCATAGATTTGAAAGGGACTCCTAAAGAAGGACAATTCTATGTTGCATGTTCCAGAGTAGGGAAACCAGACAATCTCCACATCAAAACTGACGAAGAAACAGCAAGAAATACTTTCCACCCATAAGTGGAAAGACATTACATATATTAGAAACCAACACTTTCTCATTACTTTATTTTCTAGATCACCAGACTTGGTCAGAGCAACGTGTGGCAGGGGATAGCTAGTATTGTATAAAATGACCTTCGGGCTATGGTTTTGCATTGTATATAAAACATACATGAATTGAGTGTTTAGTTTTGAGTCTTATTTCTGAAATATCTTATTATGTACGTATATGCAAATGCAAGTATTCCAGACACCGTAAAAATCAAAATACAAAACACTTCTGGTCCCAGGCTTTTCAGATAAGGACTACTCAATTAGGATGAGCATGAAATCGCTAAACTTTCCACATTCTAAGCTCCCAAAACCCTTATTCAGATCTTATTAATTCCTCTCTTCCGAACTGTTCTTCACTGTCTCTCACTTCCATAAATAATCAACCTCTTCCTTGAGAAGCTTCTAGGTTGTATCCCCCATAAACCCCCCTCTTCACAGCATGCCAAAAGGCTGTGATTGACTGGCCCAAAGCAGGTTTGCCCAGTTGTTCAATTCACTTTTGGGCATTTGGAGTTTGGTATTGCTCTTACAGTTTGGAAATCTTAAGAGCATGAATGGGAATACGCTGCCTTTTTGTGTTACAAACGTCAGGGCTGATGTGAGTACGAATACCTGTTTTTCTAGAATGAATGCTCAGTCCCTTGGGCTGGCTCTGTTTTACGGGGGAAGTGGGAGAGGAAAACACATCAATAATAAACAATAGCTGTGTGACTTGACTGCCTTACTGCCTTGAATTTATTATGATTTTCCTTTCATGTGAAGGCAATTGATCGAGGCATCTACTTTGAACTTCTTTACGTGCCTGCCATCAAAGACTCAACGATGCGAAGGTACACCGTTTCAAATGCGCTCAGCCTGATGCAAATCTGCCGGGGAAAGGTGAGATTAAAATTGGAGGTGTTCGCCCTATAATGCCACCCCCCCCCCCCCCCCCCCCAATAAAAATATCAGTTGTCTTTTTTGGGCTGTGGCATCCGCTTCTTAAGCCATTTAGTCTGCTACAATCATGATAAGTGATTGGCAAACAGTGTCTGCTTGAAATGAATAATCTATTTCTAATGAAGATGGGAATATATTTCTGACCTACTTTCTCAGTTTATTTCTTTAAAAACCATATAAATCCTGAATTAGGTCGCATCATTAAAACTAGGATTTATATAGCAGTTTCTCCTCCTAAAGAGGTGCTCCTACTATCATCTTGGATTACCCTAGTATAGTTGGTATTGCTTTTATGTTGTGATGTGTTGTTGGACTTCGCCTCATGTAAGCCGCCCCGAGTCCCTTGGGGAGATGGTGGCGGGGTATAAAGAAAGTTTATTATTAGCCTCTCAGGGCCCTTCCACACAGCTATATAACCCAGAATATCAAGGCAGAAGGAGCCCCCGGTGGCGCAGTGAGTTAAAGCACTGAGCTGCTGAACTTGTTGACCGAAAGGTCGCAGGTTCGAATCCGGGGAGCGGCATGAGCTCCCGCTGTCAGCCCCAGCTTCTGCCAACCTAGCAGTGTGAAAACATGCAAATGTGAGTAGATCTATTTGTGCCGCTCTGGCGGGAAGGTAACAGTGATGTTTACATATCTGTGGAATATCCAGGGTGGGAGAAAGAACTCTTGTTTGCTCGAGGCACATGTGCATGTTGCAATTGGCCACCTTGATTAGCATTTAATGGCTGTGCAGCTTCAAAGCCTGGCTGCTTCCTGCCTGGGGGAATCCTTTGTTGGGAGGTGTTCGCTGGTCCTGATTGTTTCACATCTGGAATTCCCCAGTTTTCTGGCTATTGTTCTTTATTTACTGCCCTGATTTTAGAGTTTTATTTAATACTGGTAGCCAAATGTTGTTCATTTTCATGGTTTCCTCCTTTGTGTTGAAATTGTCCACAGGCTAGTGGATTTTAATGGCTTCTCTGTGTAGTCTGACATGGTAGTTGTTAGAGTGGTCAAGCATTTCTGTATTCTCAAAGAATATCCTGTTTCCAGGTTGGTTCATCGGGTGCTCTGCTATGGCTGATTTCTCTGGTTGAAAAGTCTGCAGTGCCTTTCATGTTCCTTGATTCGTGTTTGGGCAATGCTGCGTTTGGTAGTCGCTATGTAGACTGCGCATACCTCAAGCAGACAAGAGTTCTTTATCCCACCCTAGACATTCCACAGATATATAAACCTAACTTGCCTTGTTTCCAACAGATCCCTCAACCTCTGAGGATGCCTGCCATATATGTGTGCGAAACTTCAGGAGAGAATGCTTCTGGAACATGGCCATACAGCCCGGAAAACTCACAGCAACCCTTATACACAGCTGGGAAACATCTGTCCCTCCAGATGTTGCTGGGCTGCAATTCTTAACCCAATTATTTGTTTATTTTTTTAATTTGCATCCCACCTTTCTCCCAGCGAGGCAACTCTTGGTTAAGACAAAAAGAACGATTAGTACGAACATTAAAGCAAAGAACAATATTTTATTTGAAAATACAATATTAAAACTATGTGGAGCATATTTATACCATAATAGAAAATATCGGCATAACACACTCATTTAAAAGCTCCATCAGCAGCCAGAAGGTACATATTATTTAGCACATCCAGTTATGAAGTGTGATGTGAGATGCAATATAACCAAATCTGGAAGATCACATTGTCCCTTAGCTGTGTTATTAAAGTTATGTTCCAGCTCTGAGTTCTAGGTGGGAGTCATAACGACTGAAGAACAATGTGAGATTGCTGTAAATTAGGGATGCATAGGGCAACTGTGAGAAAATTAAGGCTCCTTCTACACTGCCATATAATCCAGATTATTAAAGTAGATAATCCATGTTATCTGCTTTGAACTGGATTATATGAGTCTACACTACATTATAATCCAGTTCAAAGCAGGTAATCTGGATTTTATATGGCAGTGTAGAAGGGGCCTAAGTAAGATCCTTTAGTATAAAGATAGATCACTTAATAACAAAATCAGGATTGTTCATACCATAACATTGTTGATAGTTATTTGTGTGTGTGTGTGTGTTTGGGAAAACTAGAGAATGTAGAAAGCTGGCAGGAAGATAATCAATTCATTTGAAAGGTAGTGCTGGAGAATTGTTCCGTGGTTACTATGAACTGCTGAGAAGACAAATGAACAGACTAGAGGAAATCACCTGAGCTTTCGCTAGAAGTGAAGGTGACTAAATGGAGGCTGTTGTAGTTTTGTCATATCATTAGATGACATGAGTCATTGGAAAAGGTGGTAATTTTTGGTAACGTAGGCGGCCGCAAGACCACATTATAGATGGATATTGAACAAGAAAGGCACAGCCCAGACTTTCCAAGACCTGAGTGGGACTGATGATGAGATCTCTCAATCGTAGGGCCGCTATAGGTTCAAGTTGACTTGAGCCCCTTCTTGTTGGAGATAGCAAGCTTAGCAAGCCTCCTATATGTAATATTTTGTCTGTTTATAATGTGTTGTTTATTTCCTAAAGTGTATGTCTTCTTTGGGTTGCAGATTTCCTTAGCTCTATGTACTTGAGGCAGTGGGAGAGGCTGAAGACCATATGATTGGTTCAGTGACTATTTAGAATGCCAATCCCAAGTTTCGGTGATGACCAGGGGAGCATTCGCATAGTTAAAGCTTGTGCCCAGCTGCGGCCGTAACTTGGGAAGTCTGACTTGGCCACGGTAGTTCACACTCTGGTTACACCCCGTATATATTACTGCAACGCTCTCTACATGGGGTTACCTTTGAAGACTTCGGAAGCTTCAATTGGTCCAATGGATGGCAGGCAGATTGCTAACAGGAGTGGCACTTAGGGAGCATATAACTCCTCTGTTGCGCCAGCTCCACTGGCTGTCGGTCTGCTACCGGGCACAATTCAGAGTGATGGCTTTAGCCTATAAAGCCCTAAACAGTTCTGCCCCAGCTTACATGCATGAGCACATCTCTCTTTATGAACCTTCCAGGATTTTAAGATCATCTGGGGAGGCCCTGCTCTCAATTCCGCCTTCATCACAAGCACGGTTGGCGGGGATGAGAGACAGGGCCTTCTCAGTGGTGGCCCCTTGGCTATGGCATGCCCTCCCTAAGGACATCAGATTGTCCCTCTCCCTTTTAACATTTCGGAAGAGAATTAAACCTTGGCTCTTTGAGCAGGCATTTGCAAATACAGTGTAACAGACATAGGAAAACGGAATAGTTGGACGATGTGATTGGACAATGTTTTTAGCGAGGAGACCCTAATGATACATGTTTTTATTGATTTTATTGATTCTGCTATGGTTTTACTATTCGATTGTTTTATTGTATTGAAATTGTAGTTTATGGTCTTGGTACCAACCGTAAACCATCCCGAGCCGCCTGTGGGCTGCGAGGGACGGTATATAAATATAGTAAATAAATAAAGAAATAGCCCACATCCCAGTCCTTGCCTTGAGAATGATACAACCACTTCACTAACCTAATTTCTCCTTGAATTGACGCTTTGAATATTTTGTAGGCAGGACTCTTTGTGTCCCTTTCATCTTCCTTTTAAGCAACAGCTCAACACATAGCAATTCTCAGAAAGATACCAGTTTCACCATAATGCATCGCTACTGATGGGTACCAGACCGCTCACATTAAGTGATGAAAGGAATGGTCTTGGAAGCTACCACATCCAGAAAGGGATGGTGAAGGGCAACTCCCGTGATGTTTCACAGTTCTGGACAATCTCAGTTGTGTGGAGGAAATTGATTTTTTCTTTTCCTTGTTCTCGGGGCCAGGAATGCTGCCAGCACTCTGCTTGCATCCAGCTTTCTAAGGCCCTTCCAGTTCTGTTAAAGTGAATGGTGATTTTTGTCCTGCCAGTAGTCCTGTGCAGATGGGTCACCAGCTGTACTGGCTGAAAGATTCTGGGAATTGTACGTGAAAAAAGCAACTTTGAACACAGCTTGTTCCTGCTATTCTTGGAATGGCTTCCTTATTATTAAGAGCCTCCTCCCAACTTCCTTTTTGATATATAGTATGAGAGTTGGAAGTACTCTCAGGAGTAGATGTTGGTGCCTGACTTTTGATATGTAAATGGTGTCTCAAGCAGCTGTTTCCATCTTAAGCTTCATCAGAGCCGTGTGTATGTCTGGGATTCACATGAACAGAGAAAGGGGAAGTTCAGTGAAAAATTCAATTTCTGAAGCATCTGAGCTTTGTTGTTGCAACATACTGTTTTCTGGCTTTTCTAAATGAAAGGGAAAGATCTCCAGGATGGGGGAGCTGGGCGCAAACCATTTCCATAATTTAGCATTGAGTTTTCAAGTAGAAATATTATGGGACTACAGATCCCAGTATCCCCCAGCCAGCATGGCCACTGGTGTATAGACCAAATTTATTTATTTCTTTACGTCATTTGTAGCCCACCTTTCTCAGCCTTGCGGCGACTCAAGGCAACTCGCAGAAATAGCAATTTTAGTGTCATACATTCATAAAATATGGTTAAAACATACAGTCCAAAAATCCTAGAATTTTATATATCCATGTATGTGGTACATTTATATTGTCGGAAATATCAACCTTCAACAAGCCTCCTATGCTAGTTATTTGTTATGTATAGGATTCAATTTGCTTACTCTATTATGTATGTATGTTTTGGTATGCAGCTTCCTAAACTCTATGTTGTTTGAGGTTGTGGAAGGGACTGCAAACTATGTGACCAGATCTAGGACTATTCAGAGTGAAACTCAATTTTAGAAAACTTTTGAACTAAAGTAAAGATACTGTTATTTGTTTCACAAGCCTGAGTGACGTTTTATTATACAGCAGGATATACCTTGGTTTAAATATTGTGGTAAAGCTTTTGGTTATTTTGCTTATGCACATTTACCAACCCTCACACATTTTAGGAGTCATAGAATCAGAGTTGGAAGAGACCTCATGGGCCATCCTGTCTAACCCCCTGCCAAGAAGCAGGAATATTGCATTCAAAGCACACGTGACAGATGGCCATCCAGCCTCTGTTTAAAAGCTTCCAAAGAAAGAGCCTCCACCACACTCCGGGGCAGAGAGTTCCACTGCTGAACGGCTCTCATAGGAAGTTCTTCCTCATGTTCAGATGGAATCTCCTTTCTTGTAGTTTGAAGCCATTGTTCCGCGTCCTAGTCTCCAGGGAATCAGAAAACAAGCTTGCGCCCTCCTCCCTGTGACTTCCTCTCACATATTTATACATGGCTACACAATTGAAGAGAGATATTGACAAGCTGGAATGTGTCCAGAGGAGGGCGACTAAAATGATCAAGGATCTGGAGAACAAGCCCTATGAGGAGCGGCTTAAGGAGCTGGGCATGTTTAGCCTGAGGAAGAGAAGGCTAAGAGGAGCTTTGATAGCCATGTATAAATATGTGAGAGGAAATCACAGGGAGGAGGGAGCAAGCTTGTTTTCTGATTCCCTGTAGACTAGGATGTGGAACAATGGCTTCAAACTACAAGAAAGGAGATTCCACCTGAACATGAGGAAGAACTTCCTGACTGTGAGAGCCGTTCAGCAGTGGAACTCTCTGCCTCGGAGTGTGGTAGAGGTTCCCTCTTTGAAGCTTTTAAACAGAAGCTGGATGGTCATCTGTCAGGGGTGCTTTGAATGCAATATTCCTGCTTCTTGGCAGGGGGTTGGACTGGATGGCCCATGAGGTCTCTTCCAATTCTATGATTCTATGATTCCATCCTAGTGACTGAATGGAGATTTGAACCCTGTTCTTCAAGGACCGGTTCAATGGGAGGGGAATTTCAGGTTGTCCAGATTTTTAGACTGTAAGACATAATATCCATTGCTGTTGGTGAAGGTGGAGCTGATAGAAATTGGGTCAAACACTTGGAGAGCAATAACTATTGTAAAAAACCCACAATAACCTATTGTAATAGTTGTTTTCCAAACATCTCCAAAGTGACAATGTCCAAACATTTTGGACTACCTGTCCAAAGCACCTGTCAGCTTTGGCCATTGGTAATGCTAGCTGGGGCAGAGGAAAAAGGTGGTCCCAAACATCTATATGGCTCCAAGGTGGGAAGGTTGTTCTTTGTTTACCATGGCTCTATTTCAGCACCCTGAATAGCACTCCCCAAAGGGACTCGGGGCAGCTTACAGACGGCACACAGTGCCCAAAAACAAACTTAAAAATGAAGCACAATTTAAAATACAATAAAATAAAACACATACACATATAAAGCCATCAACTCAAACTCAATAAAACTGAGGTCATCAACCAGTGGCGGTAAACATGGCCAAGCTGTAAACAATAGGACTGGAATAAGTGCATATATATGGGTTTGGAATTAATTGCACTTAATGCCAGTGTAATTAAAATACAAGTATATGCTTGATAGATCTCAGAGCTTCTTCCACCCCAAAGGGACTGCAAGGGATTTGCTTGTGTGACAGATGCATGTGATGTGCTGCCCAAGGTGAACCTCGCAGATAACTGTTCACTGCAGTGTGAGAAAGAGGATGTTTCTCTGATCAACTCATTGCTTGCCTCTTCTGTAAGCCCAAACATGCCTTTGCATCGGAAGTATATTAAGCAACATCACACAGTCTAACTTGATTTTTGTGTTATCTGAAATCATTAACATTTTCTTTATTTTCCTAGAATATTGTTCTATCCAGTGCAGCAGAAAGGGTAAGTGGATATGTCTGTGTGCTTGACATTTATAAGCCATTTCCAGTTCATCTTTTTTGTTAACAAGACTGCATTGTCACATCTGTCTTCTTGCATACTCTGTTCTGGTAGCATTGTACTTGGTCCTTGCCTGGCACGCACAGGTCATCAGTATGCCCCCATCTCCATCCCTGAATCAAGCAGCTGCTCCATCCAATGAGAAAGTCATCTCCTTTCTGTCTACCAGAAAGCCGTTCCCAGTATTCACTCCTCTGTAACTCACTTTTCACCAAACCCATCAGACACCAAATTCAAGCATCTTATAACTACAATCAAAGGTAGGGTTGGGTTATTTGTATCAGGACTGTTTTGATACAAATAACTGTAATGTGCAATAAGTGAGTTTTTTAGCTTACTATTCTGAGAAGTGGATTATACCCCAAGGTGTAAAATTTGGAATAGAACATCATCATTGTCCCAGCTTTTTCCTACTTCAGCACTCAGGGCAGCTTACAACAGACTAAAGAAATAGTTGAAAGTAAAATAAATTAAAAAATAAACATAATAAGTGATTAAATGCTAAAAACATGAATAATAAAAACGCAATGGGAATTTTGGTATGTCAGCACCTGTGTTAAGTTCCACTGACTAAATGGGTTCATCCTACTTGGACCTAGGCTCTAGTCTCCTACATTTTGATTAGACAGTGACACAATCATATATGTGTGCAAGTGCATATTTATGGTCTAACATCTGTGCATGAATTGTGGTTTTGTTTTCTTTTGTAGTCTTTACATCTCCGAGGTCCATATGATGTGGCAAATTTGTATCCTTTACAAGTCTAAGAATGTTTGTCTGTTTGTTTACGATATTTATAGCCCGCCTTTCTCAGCCATAGGGCGACTCAAGGCGGGTTACAGATTGGCACAATTCAATGCCAGGCATTCACAAAAGTGTCATTAAAAACACTTAACATTACAATATAAAACATATATAAAACCCGTTAAAGCATATAATAATCAGTGTCATCTTGTTAAAAACGTTATCCAGTAACATTGTCTGGCCATTCCATGTTCATCATTCATAGTTCTGTGTTATCTATTCCACTTGGGAGGGGGCCAATCTAATGTCCCTGGGAAGGGCATTCCATAGCCAAGGGGCCACCATTGAGAAGGCTCTGTGTCTTGTCCCCGCCAAACATATTTGTGACGCAGGCAGGATCGAGAGCGGGGCCTCCCTGGATGATCTTAAAGTTCTAGCAGGTTCATAAGGGGAGATGCGTTCGAACAAGTAAGTTCAAAGCAGACAGTAATCCACATTGTCTGCTTTGAACTGGATAATATGAGGCCTCGTCTATATTGCCATATGTAATAAGGACTAACGACCGTTCAGCCGTTGGCAGGGGAGAAAACCTTTCTATCCCACCGCTGCCTCCAATGTAAAGAGAGATTAAAGGACCGAGACGTCCCTTAACACACCTGTGTGACTGAGAGTTTTGGTGAGGGAAAAACTAAAGATATTAGAGACCGATGATTCTGGTAAATTTTCGCCGCCACCACCTCAATTGTATTGTTTGAGGAAACAAAGGTGTGAATGTGTTTTAGGTAATATGCGCCCAGGCTTCTGTTCTTCTTTATGAGCTCCTTTTATATGCTGACTGGACTGTAAAGAGGTTTTTAGACTGACTTGGTTTTCACTGAGTGCAACAGACTGAGGCAGACACCAGTTAAAGATAAACTAGGAACAGGTTTATTAAACTAAGAATATGTCAACTCATAAAATGAGTGGTACACACGCATAATTCAGTTACTGAGGCTTAGGCTTATTAGACAGATAGTTTCTACTGAAGATGTAACTTTTGCTTGATGTGAGTTCCCTTCTCCACACTGTTCAACTTTTTGAAACAGTATGTCCCTGAGATCAGTCCCCCTGACTGTCTCACAGAGTAATCAGACTTTCTCCAATCTACTCTTCAGGGCAATAAGCTTTCTTGTACTTTTTATTAATACAAGTGGACAAGTCTTCTTCACTGACCCTACAAGTACAGTAATACTGAAGTCCTTGTCCCTTGCTTATTTCCTAACTGCTTGGCTCACTCAAAAGCTTCCTTCTCCCTGTCTAAATCCTACTCTGCTAAAATCCTCCTTCTCTCTCTGTTGTTAAAACACTTCTCTCTCTGATGTTAGAAGTGACAGGCTTTTTCACTCACACCCAACTCCTCCCCTTAGTGCCTAAACCAATCAGGAGTCGGCTGACTCCTCCCCTGCATACTTGCCTCTCCCAAGATGGAGACTCAGCCCACTGACTCTAAGAGCCGTAGCAAACTACTGGAAGCGAGAGCGAGCTTGTGCTTGAGCTCGCTCCGAAGCCCCGCCTTTTTCCCCCCGAGGCTGCTCTCTCTCTTGCTAGTGTGCCTGTTTTCCCTTGCTAGGGAAGCGATGCAAGTGTACTCTCGCAGTTGGCAGAATTCAACTGTGAGCGTACGCTCGCATCCCTGCCCTCTGCAATGGAAAATAGGCACGCTAGCAAGAGAGAGAGCAGCCTCGGGGGAAAAAAAGGCGGGGCTTCGGAGCAAGCCTGAGCGCAAGCTTCCTGTAGTTTGCTGCGGCACAAGCGTATGCTCGCAACTCTGCCCTAGCAAAGGGAAAGAGGCAGAGAAAGAGGCGGAGCATCGCTCATGCTGGCTTAGTTTGCTCTCGCAAAATCCTAGTTTGCTACAGCTCTTAGAGCCGCCGCAAACTAGCCTCCTGCGAGAGCAAACTGTGCCAGCACGTCCATGACGTCATGAGACTCTGCCTCTTTCTCCATGCCAGCGTGGTTTTTCCTTTGCTAGGGCAGCGATACCAGCATACTCTCGCTTTTGGCAGAATTCAACAGTGAGAGTACACTGGCATCGCTGCCCTAGCAAAGGAAAAACCACACTGGCACGGAGAAAGAGGCTGAGAAAGAGGTGGAGAAAGAGGTGGAGTCTCATGACGTCATGGACCTGCTGGCACAGTTTGCTCTCGCAGGAGGCTAGTTTGCGGCGGCTCTTAGGCTTCGGCCTAGCCGGCAAAGGTTAGAAGTTATTACACCATACAATCCAGATTATCAAATCGGTTAATCTACATAATGTGCTTTGAAATGGATTATATAAGTCTACACTGCCATATAATCTAATTCAAAGCAGATAATCTGGATTTTATCTGGCAGTGTAGATGGGGCCTGAGTCTACCTTGCCATTTAATCAATTTCAAAGCATACAATCCTTATTTTATATGAGTGTAGAAAGGGTCTTAGTTGGGGCATTCTTTAAGACATAGTTGAAAATATTTTTTCCCAAACTTAGGCCTTAATTGTACTATGAGCACATAAAATAGCCAAAAAGGAATGAGAGGTAATATTATCAGCAATCTGAAAAGGTAGGAAGTTGTGAAGGCAATGGGGAATGTTGCTGGATTGTCTCACCCTCCTTTGGAGTAAAACACTGAATTGGCCAAGGAGAGGCACGGACTGGAGAGAGATCACCTCCAGTCCATGACTAGCACTTTAGGGCAACGAAGGCCTGGAGTACTGTAGCCCATTCAGCAAAGGTAGGTAAATAGTTGGTTTTAAGATTAACAGGTTACGAGAAAATGTATGTACGATCCATATATAAAATCCACCATAAAACCAGGGAGCTGATCTGAATAAAGAAGTTCTGGAGCACTAAATGACTATGTGTCTAGCCCCCTCCTTCCAGCAAATGGCCCTTGCAGATTCCTTGGGAGCTGGGTGTGTCATCCTTTAGCAACCCAGGGCCCTTCACATATCCATATAACCCAGACTATCAAGGCAGAAAATCCCACTACATATTCCAGTTCAAAACAGATAATGTGGGATTTTATTCAGCTGTGTGGAAGGGGTCCCAATCATCAACATTATGGAACTTCTTTAATTGGTATAGTTGCCTGGCTTTTAAGATACATTTTAGGGACATTTGTGTTTCTTAAAATGGCACCATATCCATAAATCTGAACAAGAAGCAATTACAAGGCTGTACCTATAGCTTATACCATTGTAACTGTCTTAGAGGTTGCCAACCAGTATTTTATTTATATTCCGTCCTTCTCACTCCGCAGGGGACTCAGGGCGGATTACAATGTGCATATACATGGCAAACATTCAATTCCATAGACACACTCATATATAGATAGACACACAAAGGGTATTTAACATTCTAGCTTTTTCATGAGGGTATTCTGGCCACCAGGGGAGCTGTCACTTCACTGTCCATTTGTGACACTGATGAAGTACTTCCTCGTTCTTTGCATGCTTGCTGGATATTTTTATGGCATCATAAATTAGCCTCCCCACATAAGCGGTACCTAAATTTCCTACTTGAAAGATGCACATATCTTTCGGGCTGCAAAGGTCAATAGCAAGCTACACAAATTGGTTGGAAGCTCACTCCGATCCGGGCTGGCTTTGAACGCATGACCTTTTGGTCAGTACTAATCTTAATGTAGCTGATTCCCAGCCAGCTGTGCCACAGTCTAATAATTGGTAAGGGCTTCCAGTTAGCATATACCATTTCAATGAGCTTTGTACCTTTTCTACCCCACGCCTACTGATGCTGCCATACTCCTTGATGAAAGCAGTACCAGTTGATTTGCTAAAACTGTGAAGTCTTACAGCTTAGTCTACCTTTTCCCCAATTTAGGGGTTAAAATAATAATTGTGTTTATTTGTGCTTTCCCAGTACTGTGCATATAATGTCTTAGCTGCTTTCAACACGGACTGAGCTTTGATGTTGTGTGGGTGGATAAAAGTGCCAAATGGATACAAAGATCTTAACCACCTGCTGAATATCAGATGCCTGGTGTCAGAGAATAAGCTGATCAGGTCCATGAGTTGCGTGGAATTCAATGTCGTGCCCACAAAACCAAAACATATTAATTTAACTGACAGTTTTGTCAGGCAAACTCTTTTGATTTGTCTCCTGCCTCTTATCTAGTAGAACTGAGGCTAAAATACAGATCCACGGCAGGGTTAAGAATCATATATTCCTCTTGGACTTGCTTTGTTTTCAGGTTCACCCCTCTAACCCTGACCTTAACAGGCTCTCTTGTTGGCTGATAAGTATATTTTTTTTTCTGTTTGGTTGACACCAAAGGCCCTTCACACCGCAGAATTCTAGTGCCACCATTCCACTTAAATTACCATGGTTCCATCTCATAGCATTTTAGAATGGAAAGCTTAGGGATTGGCATTTCCAGTTCTTAACCAAAACCAATGTCTCACCAAACTATAAGCTCCAGAATTCCATACAACAGAACCATGGCAGTTAAAGTAGAATAATAGCACTATTATTTTGAAATGTGAACGAATCCTAGTGTTAGGGATTCCTCATCTTCTGAAGAGGAGGAAGGGGAGCAGGGAAGTGCTCAGGAATTGGAGGGAGAAGAAGAATCAGACGATGAGGCTTTGCAAGTGCCCACATTTCTAGAGAGACAAAAGGAGACAGAGCACAGACGGCGTTTAGCTAGAATAGCTGCTAGAAATGCTGAGCTAATTGGGAGACGCCCTAGCACCTCCTGGGTGGGGAATTCAGGGCTACAAATCAGAAGCAATGGAACTGGACAATGCTTGATAATAATGAGACGCTAATGTTGTTTTTATTGCTTTTGTGGTGTTTTATATTGTTTAATGTTTTAATCTGTAATATGTTTTTATATGTACTGATCTGTTGGAAACCACTTTGAGAAATAATAAATAAATAAGCAGGAGCAGTCAGCTTTCGCTGGTAATGACGACTCTGATGCTGATTGAACCTGCTTTGTGTCTGCTGCTAAGGACTTAGTGATCATTGACCGTTGTCTGATGCAAGACTGCTGTTCCTTTTGGGACTTTGTAAGAGACTTTAATTTGTGTCTGCATTAAGACTTCCTTGCTTTCTTTTACTTTCAACATTGTATTAAGGCTGTTTTTGAAGGGCAAATCAGGATACCTAGAAAAATACCACAAATACGTCCTTTCATGGGCGAGAAGAAAAGACAGATTTGAAAGAGCTCTTGCATTATTGTTCTAATCTACTCTTGAAGAATGGCCCTTGTGTGAAACTCATGGGGACAGGAATAAAGGTTTTCCCCTTTCCGCCTGAGTTCTGTCTCATATCCCTCCTTGATACAGAAGGGACATGCTTGAAACCTGTCTGTTCTCCCACTTGATGTTCCTTAATGAAAAGTACCAGAGGTTTCCTGTTTGGACTGTCAGAAAGCAATGCTAAGGCAGCCGTTTCAACAAATTGCCGAGCCGTCATTCTTCATGGAGGTGAGTTGGGTCTAACTGGAACTTGCTTTTAGCCCTTCAGGTTAGATATAGACCAACATGAGTTATAGCTGAATGCCAGTGATGTGGCCAAAAGGAGAACGAAGCATCTCCTTTGAGACAAGTACCTCACCATCTTATCCTCCCTCTCCCAGTTTGCTATAAGAGGTCCATTGGCTACCTATATGTTTCCGGTCCCGATTCAAAGTGCAGGTTATCACCTATAAAGCCTTACACAGCTCGGGTCCAGCTTATTAGCATTTTGAACCAGGCTTTCCACGCGGTTAAATTGATGCAATGTCATCATTTGGAGTTGCTGTTGTAGGAGAGAGCAGGAAATGGAGGGGAAGTCATGGGTATCGGGTGATACACATTTAAGGAATATATAAAGCATCATTTAAGGTAAAGTATATCAAGATAAGACTTGCATAGCAATTGAATGGATGTATCACTAAAAAAATTTAAAATCACCTATAAAGTCCTATACAGATCAGGTCCAGCCTATTTGTGTGCTCGTGTCTCTCCTTATGAACCTTATGAAGAGACCTCATGGGTCATCCAGTCCAACCCCCTGCCAAAAAGCAGGAAAATAGTATTCAAAGCACCCCCGACAGATGGCCATCCAGCCTCTTGTTTAAAAGCCTCCAAAGAAGGAGCCTCCACCACACTCCAGGGCAGAGAGTTCCACTGTTGAACAGCTCTCACAGTCAGGAAGTTCTTCCTAATGTTCAGGTGGAATCTCAATTCCTGTAGTTTGAAGCGATTGTTCCGCGTCCTAGTCTCCAGGACAGCAGAAAACAAGCTTGCTCCCTCCTCCCTATGACTTATTTATTTATTTATTTATTTATTTATTTATTTATTTATTTACAGTATTTATATACCACCTTTCTCATCCTGGGGGGACTCAAAGCAGTTTACACATAAATAATGGCAAAATTCAATGCCTTACATTGGGCACCAATACGATGCCAGTACAAACAATTAACAATAGTAAAATCACAATTATACATAAATCATAATTAAAACAATACATCAACAAGCATTGAAACAATAAAACTTCCCCTCATTCATCTTTTAGTCACTAGATATAAAACTTTGCACAGTACAAACTATATAAAATCCTTTCATTTTATATTTTTCCTTTTGACTTCAGGTGTTTCACGCATTACTTGGATCAGTATTTTGGAAATGGCTGAAGTGCAGTAGCAGTTGTTACAGGATAGAATAATTTTCTTCCTTCTGCTTTTGGTTTCTTTTCCTATTTGCCTTGTCACCAACCAGACAGGAAGAGAAAATAAGCTGGCAGCCCCCATGGCTAATCCTCAGGTTCTGAAAGAGCGTTCAAATGTTATTTGCGAGATAGTGAAATGCAACAGAAAGATCTATAGCCTTGATGCATTGCATTGCCATAAAGGAAAACGTAATGCAAGCTATCTGAAGCAGTGACATAGTTGAGTGTTTTTGTAAAGAGAAAACCTGGCTCAGAAAAGAGTTGAACCTCAAACAAACTCTAAAGAAAGCAATATATACCAAGATCTCTAGCCAGTTTTTTAAAAAATGTACTCTAACTGCATGATAGAAAAGTTTGCCACCCAGTCCCCCCCTCCACACACACACTCGCACACTTTTGTTCCTTCCCTTAATAATTCTGTTCTTTCTTTTTTAAAAAGAAATACTGTCTTCTGTAATTCTGAGGGTGAATAAATTTAAACCACTTGAGATGACTTGTCTCACATTTCAAGTCCATATACTGTTTTGTTGTTTATTCTTCCTGACCTCATGGACCAGCCCTTCTATAGCTCCCTATTAGCTGTGGCCACCCCCAGCTTCTTCAAGATCGAGTTAGTCACTTGAAGGATACCATCCATCCATATTGCCCTTGGTCGGCCCCTCTTCCTTTGTCTTCCATTTTCTCTAACATCATTGCCTTCTCTAAACTTTCCCGTCTTCCCATTATGTAGCCAAAGTACTTCATCTTTGTCTCTAATATCCTTCCCTCCAATGAGCAGTCGGGCTTTATTTCCTGGAGGATGGACTGGTTGGATCTTCTTGTGGTCCAAGGCACTCACAGAACTTTCCTCCAACGCACAGTTCAAAAGCATCTGTCTTCCTTTGCTCCACCTTCCCTATGGTCCAGCTCTCACATCTATAGGTTACTATGGGGAATACCATTGCTTCGACTGTGTGGATCTTCGTTGCCAATGTGATGTCTGTACTCTTCACTATTTTATTGAGATTGGACATTGCTCTCCTCCCAAGAAGGAAACCTCTTCAAAATAAGTTGAAATTTGGAGAAGGGGTATATTTGAGCACTCACTTTTTTTCCTCATGGGACAAAAAAAGGCCAACTCTAGAATACACATTTGTGTACCTTTTAATATATAAAGCATTAGTTAAGTTTTATGCCCATACAGATCTTGTTTTAGTATATATTTTCTTATCGTTTTATTTGGTGTTTGTGCTACTGCTGTGGATTTTAAAGTTTTATGACATTAAGTAAAATTATTATTATTATTATTATTATTATTATTATTATTATTTACTGTATTTGTATACCGCCTTTCTCAGCCCAACAGGTGACTCAAGGCGGTTTACAGGGCAAATTCAATGCACACAATACCATAAATAAACATTAACATATAATAAAAACCATGACAACATCAATAAAAGCATAAGTCATTAGTGTTTCCTTGTTAAAAATATTGTCCAGTCCTATTGTCAAGTCATTCCATATTCCTAGGTCAGTTACTCTGCGTTTGCAAACGCTTGCTCAAAAAGCCATGTATTGACTTTTTTCCGAAACGTTAAAAGGGAGGGGGCCAATCTGATGTCCTTAGGGAGGGCGTTCCATAGCTGAAGGGCTACTGCTGAGAAGGCCCTGTCTCTCGTCCCTGCCAGACGTACTTGTGGCAAAGGCGGGACCGAAAGCAGGGCCTCCCCAGACGATCTTAGGGTCCTAGATGGTTCATAAGGGGAGATGCGTTCAGACAGGTAAGTTGGGCCAGAACCATAAATAACCACTGATGTATTGTATATGTAGCGACTAGATGAATGAAAGCCAATTCTTTGGATTGTCCAGTTCATAGCCTTGTTTGTCACTATAGTTGCAGCAGTTAACTGCACTCTCTACATCCAGTGTTTCCTCTTTAATCGAGCTTATCAGGCTATGAAAGAGATTCATCAATTTCTAGATATAATTTGGAAGCACAGAAGGTTTTAAAGGGAAGGTGTGTAAAATGCAGTTTTTAGGCCATATGTGTTCCCTCAGTACCCCTCCAAAAATTATTTGTCTCAAAATTACAAAATCATAAATCAGAGCAGCCCCTTTGCTAAGAGTCTGGTGGTGTAACTTGCTATTTCATCATAAAATTGGCCCTTTTGGGCTTGTTTCATGTCTTTGGTATGCATTTTTCTGTAGGAGAAGAGATGGGGGTCCCAACCTCCAAAATACAAGAGAGAGCAGAAACGGCCACCAAGGCCTCAGAGGTGCCTGTCCCTGTTTCAGATATTATTTTTGTTTAATTTCAGAAACCAGAAAGACTGCCTCTGGAGTGGTGTATACCAAGAAGAAACCACGGACCCCAGAAGAAGATGAGTCCTCTCCTGTCAGCAAAAAAGCCAAGACGACTTTGTGACAAGCACGTTCTCCTCTGTAGTGTCCACCAACACAGTTGCCACATTTGAATGGCTCGATGGGAGAGCCATTATATTTGTGCTTTGAAGGGAGATAACAATGTTTCTTGTAATAGAGCTTCAGTTGGATTATGTGGAACAGTTTTGACTGTGGACACTGAATACATTACTTACTTTTTGAAGGAGATATTTCTTCTCAAACTCCTGCCAGAAATGGAAATATAAAGTTTAGGGAAACAAGAGATCATGTGTATAACCATATTCTTTTAGATCCAGTCATCATCTCCAGTACTACTACATACTACTGGGAATGGAAATTTCTCAGTGACCTTGTCAACCCGGATTACTCTGTCATTATGGCATCTGTTTATCAGGCTACGTAGTCATGCTTAAAATGATTGCCAAAATATTCTGGGTTTGTTGCCTTCAGATTTTCATTGTTCCAGGAAGCAGAGCAATGAGGACATTATATTGATTGTGTCTGCGTGACAACATTGGTCCCACAGCAAATTGGAGTCCAGTTTGCTGTTTAAATGGGTAGTGGTCTCTCAGTCTCGCTTCAGGAGAGAGAGGTAACCACTTGGACTTTCATGTTTGTATGATGCTCACTAAAAGTAGCATGTATCAGTAAGTATAGCTGCTGTTTAAGGCGATGTCATAGCTGTGTTCGTTTGCAATATCCATATGGAATGGGCTCTTGTAATCCTTGAGATCTGTTAGTTTCAATGTTGCTACAAGATCCCTTTGCTTGCTGTATAAAGGACAGTTATGCCGGCTACTGTGTAGGCTGTGAAAAGAAATGAAAAGACACTGAATATGGCTTGTTGTAGGCTTTTTGGGCTGTATGGTCACGTTCCAGAAGCATTCTCTCCTGACGTTTCGCCTGCATCTATGGCAAGCATCCACAGAGGTTGTGAAGTTCCACAACCTCTGAGGATGCTTGTCATAGATGCAGCCGAAAAGTCAGGAGAGAATGCTTCTAGAACATGGCCATATAGCCCGAAAAACCTACAACAACTCAGTGATCCCAGCCATGAAAACCTTCAACAATACATTGACACTGAATATGTTTTGATGGAGAAATGGGACAACAGAAAAACTGCCAGTGGTGAACTTTTTGATCCTTTTCGTATTGCATAGTGATTTTACTTTAATTATAATGCTTTGCTCCAATGGAATCTTTGGATTTGTAATTTTGAGAGAGTTATTTAGAAATCAGGTGCAGAGTTGTAGTGCCCCACCATCCTGTAAACTCCATAAGATGAAACTGTAGCCATTAAATTGGAATAATAACGCTATAATTGTTTAGCATGAAAGATTCCCAAGTGATAAATAATGTTCCATATTGTGCCCATAGTCCTATTCCCCCAATGCATATGCAGAACCAGCTCAAAGATAAATAGTAATTGGAGTTGTTTTTGGGTTTTTTTTTTGATCCCTAGAAAGACATTACTACTGGGTTGTTATATGTTTTTCCGGGCTCTATGGCCATGTTCCAAAAGCATTCTTTCCTGATGTTTTGCCTGCATCTATGGCAGGCATCCTCAGATGCACACCAAACATCAGGAAAGAATGCTTCTGGAACATGGCCATACAGTCCGGAAAACTCATAGCAACCCAGTGATTCTGGCTATGAAAGCCTTTGACAACACACATTACTACTACTGTGAAGGGGGAGTTTCTAAAGCTTACCGCATCCAGTGTTCAATTGAGGTTCTACGAAGAAACAGTGGTGACAAGGCTGTGCTTCAGATCACAAGCTACTACCAAAAAAATGATATAAAGTATGTGGCCTGGAGAGAAGGCTTTTATCTTCTGGTAGATTTCCAAGGTAAATGGTAAACTATGCAAAGAGATTAATGGACAGGGCAAGCGGTCTTTATAGGGTGGGAATGGGGAGACTTCTGTCCCCCATTTTAGTTTAAATTGCCTTCCTGCTTTGTAAGTTTTCAACATACCACAGGGTGTAAGAAAAGAATCAGAAAGTGATAGCCATGCTATGTCCCCAAGGCCTGCTTATTTGTGGTCATTTATAGGAAATTGTGTTTGTGGTCTGTTGCTCTGAAACCACCAGGCCATCAACCAGAATACTAACTAATGTATTGTGACTTGAAGTGGCTTTGGATTTGAGGTTACATTTTCAGAAATACTTCAGATCTGTTTTGTAGTTTATGTACATAGCTCGAACTACTATGGCTTGCCTTTGCGTTCTAAAAATAAATGGAGCATTTTCAAAATACTCTCTGGGGTAGTATCTAAAGTAACTACAGGATCCTTTGCATATCTCTGAAAGATGTTTACTTTGCAATAACTTTTTTTTTAGTACTGGCCAGAAGCTAAGCCACCATGGCAGTGTGGTGGTCTTCACTCATTTCAAGCAATTGAGAAATGTGAACTTTAAATACCTCATAATGAATTATTTGCAGCTGAAAGGTTCATAATCTTCTAGCACCAACTAAGAAAGAAGTTGGAAACACATTTCATAGAATCCTAGAATCATAGAGTTGGAAGAGACCTTATGGGCCATCCAGTCCAACCCCCTGCCAAGAAGCAGGAAAATTGCATTCAAAGCACCCCCGACAGATGGCCATCCAGCCTCTGTTTAATGGTTTCCAAAGAAGGAGCCTCCATCACACACACACCACACTGTTTAAAAGTCTCCAAAGAAGGAGCCTCCATCACACACACATTTCTTTTGAGTTAAGCACTTATCTAGCTACTCCATCTCAAGAGGTAGTGACATCTCTGGCCCATCCCCTGTTCGGATATCAGTCAGCATGCCAATGCCTTAAATCAAGAAATAGCTTCCTAAGATCTACAGAGATACTCGAAGGAACACCTCAGCAAGCAAGAGTCCAAAAGTGGCAGGCTAAAACCTTGAACCTCAATCCATGGCTGATACCGAATGAGAGACTCCTTCCTGGGGACATAGAAGACTTGGTGACTTGGAAGGCGCTGAACAGACTGCACTCTGGCACCAAGAGATGCAGAGCCAACCTTAAGAAATGGGGCCACAAAGTGAAGTCCACAACATGCGAGTGTGGAGAAGAGCAAACCACAGACCACCTACTACAATACAGCCTGAGCTCTGCCACACACACAATGGAGGACCTTACAGTGACACCAGAGGCACTCCAAGTGGCCAGCTACTGGTCAAAGGACATTTAGTATAATGCCAAGTTTTTAACTTTGTGTTTTTAAATGCATTATAACTGTACCCTCAATTCGCTTCTGACACAATAAATAAATAAATCTCAAGAAGTATCTCCAAATAAATAACAAACATTCTGTTATTCTAAACTTTAAATATGATTTAATACAAAATGTACACAATAGGCCATACAAATATACACATTTTTTTATCGAGCTTTGCAAATATCAATTTTTCTTTCTGGTGCATCATTTTAGATTATTTTCCTCTGAATCTACAGAATTTTCCTTTTTTGGACTGTTCAAACATGTTACACCACATTCAGTTCAGAATTCAGCCACTACTAGTGAGATTCAGTAGCAGTCTTCCCTTTTTAACACCACTTTCCCTTCTCCTTTCCACCATTCTTCAACCTTTGCTTTTAACAGCTTGCTCTTGACAGTGAGAATTAGGCAGAAACTGGATATAGGGTGACAAATTCCCTGTTGAAAAAAGAGCTTGACAGGAAGCTGCTAATATTTTCTGAAAAGCTGTTGTCTTCTATTTCAAAAAAGGAGCTTTTAATGCTCCTCGCTCTTTCTCATTACCATTTCCGTAACTCAGGCTCTCTCTATAGACCAACATGACTTATTGAAAAGATCAGCAAAGAATAAAAGCCAAAGAATACCATTCAAGAGAACGGGAAATGTGGAATAGAAAATATAAATAGGAATAAATAAAACAACTTAAAACCATTGGAAGCCTAACAGTCAAGCTGTGCCTTTGAAATATTTCATCCTTGCCCCTGACCCACATGTCTTTTAACAAAGGCAGCAAAAGAAAACCTTTCTTTTTCCAGTGAAGATTGGGATTGTTTTGGTACTGCTCTTCACGCAGATAATGACACGTTTTGTAAGACAACTGTCAGTCCGGTGACACTTGCTTTTCAGAACTTGTCAATGGGGTTGCTCTTGTAGGAGTTCTCCTTCAGGCTGTTGAATATTTCTTTGGTGCCATTTTGCCATTGCAGAACAAGATCCATTGGCGTCTTCCCTTCCTGTGCAAGAAAGTTAAAGAGAAATTAGATTAATTTTCTTAAGTTGTAACTATTCTTCTTTATTTTCCCAACCTTGCTGTGCTCTGGCAGGGATGGTGGTACAATTATGGTACTGTATCTGATCATGCCTATGAAAAAAGTCAAATTTGTTCAGTTGCCAGGTTTTTCTCACTTCTAAAGTTCATGCCAGCTTTAAGAGCAGTAATGACCACACAACATTGTGTCCCATCCTTATCCCATTCCAAAGTGGGATGGGATAAGGAAACCAAAGTGCTGTTCCAGCAATCACCAGCCATCCCCTCCCCAATGTCAGAGATACAACTTAATGGTGTAACATTAGAAAATGTTGACCATTTCCACTACCTTGGCAGCCACCTCTCCACCAAAGTCAATATCGACACCGAAATACAACACCGCCTGAGCTCTGCGAGTGCAGCATTTTCCTGAATGAAGCAGAGAGTGTTTGAGGACCGGGAAATCCGTAGGGATACCAAGGTGCTTGTCTATAAAGCTATTGTCCTCCCAACCCTGCTTTATGCCTGCGAAACGTGGACTGTCTACAGACGTCACATGCAACTCCTGGAACGATTCCATCAGCGCTGCCTCCGGAAAATCCTGCAAATGCAAATATCTTGGGAAGACAAGCGGACAAACATCAGCGTGCTGGAAGAAGCAAAGACCACCAGCACTGAAGCGATGGTCCTCTGCCATCAACTCCACTGGACCGGCCACGTTGTCCGGATGCCTGACCACTGTCTCCCAAAGCATTTGCTCTACTCTGAACTTAAGAACGGAAAACGGAATGTTGGTGGGCAGGAAAAGAGATTTAAAGATGGGCTCAAAGCCAACCTTAAGAACTCTGGCATAGACACTGAGAACTGGGAAGCACTGGCCCTTGACCGCTCCAGCTGGAGGTCAGCTGTGACCAGCAGTGCTGCAGAATTCGAGGAGGCACGAGTAGAGGATGAAAGAGAAACGTGCCAGGAGGAAGGCGCATCAAGCCAACCCCGACCGGGACCGCCTTCCACCTGGAAACCAATGCCTTCACTGTGGGAGAAGATGCGGGTCAAGAATAGGGCTCCACAGCTACCTACAAACCCACAAAAATATTCATCAAGGAAGACCATCTTACTCGTCCAACGAGGGATCGCCTAAGTAAGTAAGTATCCCATCCCCATCTTTCTTTAAAAAATGCCAGTTTCCATTCTTGGAAGTCCTCAGGTCCAGCAATTTTGTATTAAACAAATAATAATAAAACTTTATTTATATACTGCTCCATCTCCCCGAGGGGACTCAGAGCGGTTCCCAGGTAACATCACAAAACATACAAAGTAAAAACAACATAATCATAAGATTAACAAAACAAAATATAAGCATAAAAATTGTCGCTATAACACACATATATTAAAAGTAATCCTGCTTGTTCAAGGCATTTTAAAAATTTAAAAGGCCGGGCCAAGATTTGTATACAACAAAGACACAGGGCCACAAACCCTGTCTAGGCAAAGTGGATAGTCACCATAGGTTTTACATTTTCATCGCCTCAATTTTCAGGGCTGATTTACTGTATCATTGAGATAGAAAGTGGCCTACAGACCTGAACTTGCCAGTCTGTGATCAAGCATATTTATTGTGTCCTCTTACCATCATTTATCACAAAAATTAGATCTGCTAGCACTATATAAAGGTTTGGAAAGTCAATGACAAGCAATATTTATGGAAATTGACTATGGACAAGCTTCTGAAAAAGTCTCTGGTCACAGAATTCGGCTTAGATTAGGCCACCAGGCTGTAATGTTTTAAACAGTTTTAAATTGAATTGATTTAATGTTTTATTTATATGTAATTATTGTGTTTTATTATGTGTATATGGGAGCATCGAAGCGTGCCGGCTGTAAGCTGCCCTGAGTCTCACAGTTAGCAGTAACTTCCTGTTGCACATTTGGGGGGGGGGGGGGTTGAGAAGGGTGGGATATAAATATTTGAAATAATAGAATAATAATATTTATCCAACTACAAACCAGCACTAATTAGTGACAACTATAAACATGAATCCAATCAGTAGAGTGCTAATCAAGGTGGCCAATTGCAGCATTCACACTTGCCTCAAACAGACAAGAGTTCTTCCTTCCACCCTGGACATTTCACAAATATATAAACCTCACTTGCCTAGTTTCCAACAGACCTCACAACCCCTGAGGATGCCTGCCATAGATGTGGGCAAAATGTCAGGAGAAAATACTTCTGGAATATGGACATACAGCCCAAAAAACTCAGAGCAATCCAGAATTTATTTTCAGTGTGTCCCTTGTTATGTCAAAATTTTGATACAGTTTCACTTAAGTTGATAGACTATGAGCTAGCTGGCATTGCCCCCCCCCCCCCCCCCCAATGTGCTAACTGGGAGATTATAAGGTTGAACATTGTGAAAACCATCTACTGCATGGCTACCAGCCTCCTCCCAGTACACTCAAGGAAAAGCTTCATGAGAACTACCACAAAGAACATCTTCCTTGGCAGTTGAACCAGGAAATCCCAATTGGGTGGCCCCCGGTGAGGGTCTTCCTCCAGGAGCAAACCAAGAATAGTCAATTTGGAAGTCCCTGAACAGATTCAGAAGTGGAGTGGGCAGATCAAAAGACAACCTGGCAAAATGGAACTACCTAAAAGAATCCTCCACTTTGTGTAATTGTGGAGCAGAACAAACAACTCCGCACCTGTATGTAGGGGTCCACAAACTTTTTAAACAGGGCCAGGTCACAGTCCCTCAAACTGTTGGAGGGCCGGATTATAATTTGAAAAAACATGAATGAATTCCAATGCACACTGCATATATCCTATGTGTAGTGCAAAAAACACTTTAAAACAATACAGCAATTAAAATGAAGAACAATTTTAACAAAAATAAACTTATTAGTATTTCAATGGGAAGTGTGGGCCTGCTTTTGGCTGATGAGATAGGATTGTTGCTGTTGTGTGCTTTCAAATCGTTTCAGACTTAGGGCCAGGTAAATTACCTTGAAGGGCCGTATCCAGCCCCCGGGCCTTAGTTTGAGGACCCCTGTTTTAAAGCTATAGACAATGCAGTTGCTGTTGCCCGGTTTTGGTCAAAAATTCTTTAGCTGCTTGTGCTCCTTCTATTTCTACTAGTTTTATACTTACATGTGCAATGCTTTTGACACAAAATAAATAACCTAAGTTGTCACAAACACGTCCCACTGGTACAGCCTTGATGGGGATTTAGGATTGATTTCTATGAGTTGTCTGTACAGAATTCCATCTGATCTCATTTAAAAGATTTACTAAGCTTTGCAGCAATTCATTAGGTAATGTGCAAATATCCTAGACTTTCCAATAGTTAGGACAGGAGCCTTGTTAACTTGCAAGTGTGGTAGCTGAACAGTTGGCATGTGGATTTTAAAAGCTCTGTTTTGTGTACAAGTGCTTTTTTATGCGCCACATCTAATTTATAACTATGGGGCATCTACAGTTCAGAATTGATGCAGCTTGGCACCACTGACTGCCATGACTCAAAGCTATGGAATCCTGAGCTCTAGTTCAGTAGGTCAGAGAAGACAGTGTTTCAATAATATTGAGCTATGGCAGTTAAAGTTGTGTCAAACTGCATTAATTCTACAATGTAGATTTACCCTAACTCTGGTAGGAACTATATCCATAGAGAAAACACAGCTTGGAAACTACTGAAAAGAAGGCAAAGGGGAAAACCACTACACACACACACACACTAGCTGTCACCTGCCACACATTACTGTGGCCCAGTCTGTATATATGTGTTTTGTGTGTGTATCTGTATATATGTGTGCTTGTATATATATGTGTGGTTTTGCAAATGCGTTGTAATGTATTTTTTTATTTTTGGCTTTTTAAGTCTCTTATTTTTCAATATTTTTATGAGTGATGGTCAGCCACTGTCCGCATAGGTGTATTGTGTCCAAATTTGGTGTCAATGTGTCCAGTGGTTTTTAAGTTATGTTAATCCCATAAATGACACTGCAGCGCATGCGTTTTTGTGCATGCGCTGTAGTGTCTTTTTGGTTTTTTTGGCTTTTTAAGTCCTTTCCACTGTGTTTTTCAGTGTTTTTATGAGTGATGATCACTCGTTGGCCTGATAGGTGTCTACTGTCCAAATTTGATGTCAATTCATCCAGTAGTTTTTGAGTTACGTTAATCCCACAAATGAACATTACATTATATATATATATATATATATATATATATATATATATATATATGCCGTCCCTGTCACACGTTGCTGTGGCCCAGTCTGTGTATATGTGCTTTGTGTGTGGATGTGTGTGTATATATTTTTGTATATGTGTTTGCATATATATAGAGAGAGAGAGAGAGAGAGAGTTATGTGCATGCGTTGTAATGTATTTTTTGTATTTTTTAAGTCTCTTCTGCTGTGTTTTCCAGTGTTTTTATGAGTGTTGGTCACTCATTGGCCTGATAGGTGTATTGTGTCCAAATTTGGTGTCAATTCGTCCAGTGGTTGTTGAGTTATGTTAATCCCACAAACGAACATTACATTTTTATTTATAAAGATTTTTCTTCCCAAAAATGTTACACGAGGCCATAAAAATAAAATGCAAAAGAAAACAAATACAATGAAAACATAAGCATGTGAAAAACAAGTAAAATTGAACCATAATGCCTTTCCCTTAAAACCTAGCTTGACGGGGCCAGAAGCAATGAAGAGATTATTTGGAAAAGAATCTAAATTCTTTTAGCTGCATATTTAGTCATTTTTAACAAGGGCTATGAATAAGTGCAAACTTTTAATGTTCTCTGTGCTTCTCTGTAATTGTTTCTGTGGTATGATAGGGACTATTTCAGTAAAAAAAACCATTGAGTAGAGCAACAGACTACTTACGGTATTCGTTATGTTTAGGTTGGCTCCATACAGTATCAGAAGTCGAATCATTTTATAACGATTCAGCCTCACTGCGTCATGCATGGGAGTATCGCCCTCCTAGAACAAGAAGAAAAGAACATGTTGGGCTCCTCTGACATAAAACTGAGAAGACTTAACAGATTGTGCCAATATCTTCCAGCCCAGCTCAGTAATAAAAAAAGGATGAGTACCATCATGGTGATGAAGAGGAATATGAAGTACTATGGATATTCTTTCTTGGAGATGACTATTTCCTTTCCAAAAGTTTGACTTTTTCCTTAAAGTCCTGGGCACTTATTTGCCTTGTTTCAAGAGCCGAGATGATATGAAAAAATCTAAGGCAGCCTTCGAGTAGCTACTCTCCCTTGGCAAGTAGTCAAGATCACAAGCAGGGAACCTTTTATCAAAGGGGCAGGCGTTGATTTGCAATTTATCTTTTTAACGGTGCTGGCAAGCTACAAATGTTTCCGTAATGGGTGATCGTAAAAAGAGTTTGTGGACTTATAACTTTTGTGGACACATTTATAAGGCAGCGTGAAAGACTGTAGTAATGCTGTGGTTTCCTGAGAGGGGGAGACACTTAGCAAAGAAGTCCCATCCAATCAGGCAGCAGGAGGGCAAGTCCTTCTGGTTATAAGAAATGCAATGTGCTAACATTCCCAAGCCAGTTCTATTACACTGGGAAAACACCACTTTCACCGCAGCATGCAATGTAGATGGAACTGACAGACACCTTTGCTTGTGTTGCCACTTTGAATATTATCACAGAACTCCCTTCTTCTTTAACATATACATTTTGAAGGCTCTGCACATAAATATGTCCCTGCTCTTTCTGGTTGTGAGTGAGACTTTTAATTTTCAAAGATAATTTTCCCAGCTGGTAAATCATCAGCAACTATAAGATCTATCAACTGAAAGGTTGCAAGTTCGAAGCCCTGGGTTGGCGTGAGCAGCTGACCATCAGCCCTGCTCACTGTTTACCTAAGCAGTTCGAAAACAGCTTTAGCTGTAGTTAGTGAAATTAGGTACCACTAAAAGTGGGGGAGGTGTTTTACAATGCCATAAAGAAAAAGATCAGAAAATGCTGGAATGAGGAAGTCCTGATGGCTCTTCATCATAGCGGATGGAGCAACAGCACCCCCTGTGGACTCGAGCCCAACCGCCCATGGCATTGAAACAACAGACCTCCATCTGTTCTGTTGACTGTGTACTATCTATACAAACGGCATTGAATGTTTGCCGTGTATGTGTACTGTGATCCGCCCTGAGTCCCCTTCGGAGTGAGAAGGGCGGAATATTAATAAAGTATTTTTGTTGTTGTTGTTGTTGTTGTTACTTGATATGGCTTGCAGCCAGCAGTGGCTCCTAGACTCGATACGTGGCTCTCTTGTCCGGTGCATGATCCATATATCTCAGATGAACTTGAGAAAAGCCCTTGAGTATGATTAGGATAGGATAATCTGCCCTTTTAGATTATGTTGGACTGCATCTTCTGCTATACTGACTGGGGAGCATGCAGACTATTCTGTTAACATCCTATTTATTTATTTACAACATTTCTACCCCGCCTTTCTCACCCCGGAGGTGAGAAAGGAAATTACATACAGGCAATGATTTGATGCCTTAAAATACACTGTACATGTAAATAAATATTAAAATAGAGTTAAAAAGTACATTAAAATAATTAAAACATTTTAAAACAATACATTCAGAGTTAAACACGTGCATAATCCAGGTCATTCTAAAGGTCATTGCACATTGCTCCAAGTCTATCTGTTGCACTAGGTCTCTAAAGGCTTGGTCACAAATTCACATTTTTACTCTCTTGCAGAAGGTCAGGAAGGAGGGAGTTGATATAATATCCCTGGGGAGGGAGTTCCAATCTCACCTGCAAGGGAGGCAGGACTGAGAGCAGGGCCTCCTCCTATGATCTTAAATTATTCAGTGGTTTATAGAGGAAGATATGTTTGGACAGAAAAGCTGGGCAGAACCATTTAGGGGTTCTTGAGGCCAATATGTTCCCCATTCTTCTAGATCGGGGCTTCGTAAAAATTTTCCACTCACAGCCCCATTCCATCCAATAAATTTTTATATATAGGTATATAAAAAGGTATAAAAGTTGAGCATTTACTTATAAACCAGCATTTGCAAGGCTTTTAATAATCATAGAATCAAAGAGTTGGAAGAGACTCATGGGCCATCCAGTCCAACCCCCTGCCAAGAAGCAGATAATAATTTGAAACATAGCAAGATGAGTTCACAGCAAACAAGATCACTGCTGCCTGTTGTATTGGATCACACGTCAGACACTTCCCAAGTGTCAAGGACTGTGTGATATATTGGTGAATAATGCATGGAGATCCCAGTAAGGTGGCCTTCTGCAGCTGGCAGATGGTCATTTTGTCAGTGCCAATTGTGTTTAAGTGCAGGCTAAGGTCTTTAGGCACTGCACCCAGTGTGCCGATCACCACTGGGACTGCCTTTACTGGCTTGTGCCAGAGTCTTTGCAGTTCGATCTTTAAATCCTCATATTGTGTCAGCTTTTCCAGTTCTTTCTCTTCAATCCTGCTGTCACCTGGGATTACAACATCGACGATCCATACTTGGTTTTTTAACACGATTGTGAAGAATATTGTGCTCCAAAACTTTGTCAATCTGAATTTGGAAGTCCCAGAGTAGTTTGACGTGTTCATTTTCCATAACTTTTCAGGCTTGTGATCCCACCATTTCTTTGTCACAGGCAGATGGTATTTGTGGCACAGGTTCCAATGAATCATCTGAGCAATGGTGTTATGCCTCTGCTTGTAGTCTGTCTGCGTGATCTTCTTGCAGCAGCTGAGGATGTGATATATTGTTTCATCTGCTTCCTTGCAGAGCCTACACTTGGGATCTGTTGTCGACTTTTCCATTCTGGCTTTGATGGCATTGGTTCTACTGGCTTGTTCTTGGGCTGTCAGAATCAGGCCCTCCGTCTCTTTTTTCAAAGTTCCATTTGTGAGCCACAGCCATGTTTTTTTCTTTGTCAATTTGGCTCTCAATTTTTCCCAGGAACAGTCCATGGAGAGCCTTCTTTTGCTAGTTTTCTCTACTGCTCTGAATTGTGTTTTTACAGTATTTTCTCTTTGTCTTTTGCACTTTAAGCAAAATTATTATTATTATTATTATTATTATTATTATTATTATTATTATTATTTGTAGACCGCCCTATCTCCTCGAAGGAACTCAGGGCAGTTTCCAATCCATAAGGCAAACATTTGAGTCCAGGACACATAGTTTAAGATGCAGTGTTCTAGATTAATTGCCCAGAAGAGGTTTATCAATATACTCACTCTGTCTTTGGCATTGAGGTCTGCTTCACAAGCAATGAGGTGTTCCCCACATTCATATTGTCCTGTCCTTACTGCCACATGCAAAGGTGTGCTGAGCAACTAGTGAAAAAAGAGATGTGTAATTATTAGATGCATGACAATATGTGCTAATATGAGAAATAAATCTGGACTGAAGGCAAACAACCCTAAATCCAGTAGACCCCTTGAATCACTTGCTGAAGGCCTCAACACTGATGTGAACCCTGTTGATTTGATCGTTCTTCTCTTGTTTGGATTAGTGAGTGGATTTAAATCATAGCCTCCAATGTCTCCTTTAATCTATCCCCCCCCCCCCCCATCCATCAAACCTTTTGGCAATAATGGTAAAATACCTTATCTCTTGCATTCCTGTTGATTCCTTTGTTTAGCAAGTACTTCAGGACTTCCACATTGCCACCCCGGCATGTCCAATGAATAGCTGTTGATTCAAGCTACAGCCGAGGAAAAGGAATAAATTGAAATAGCAATCAAGTGATAAACAGTTCATGTGGGTAGGTGAGTGTGTGCACAATTATTTAGTGTGCTAAAATATTGATCAATCTTATTTTACTCTGACAAGAGCTCTTTAACATCTCTTGGAAAAACTCGGTGAGGTGGTGATGCAATTTCCATTTGAAATGGCTCATTGGCAAACAAGTCCTTGCATGCTACTTCACCAAGATGATAGGAATGTATCTATGCAAGAACTGTGGGTTTGTGTGTACAATTTGTGCTTACCATATCTTGGAGTTCAAGTTGTGCTCCAGCTTCGACTAACTTTTCCACAACTGCCAGGTGTCCTTCTGAGCATGCTCTGTGCAAAGCTGTTCGTTTATACTGTCAGTGGAAACAATGGTAACCATAGTTAATCATAAGCTTTTCCTCTTTACAAGTATAGATCTATCTTATGTACAGTGTGCCAGCAAGGGGATTTTCAAACTTTTCCATTCTCACTGCAGCAAAAGACTCCAAATAATAGTATGTGTAAGTCCCAGAGATAGTGCAAAGACAAGATGGTTCTATTTTTCTTCCCAGTTGTGTGTACAAAAGCTCGCTGCACTTATAGTTGTAGTTTTTATCCAAGGGTTGCAGACCAACTTGGTATAAATAGGTGAGACCTTTCATGAGATGTATTTCTGTGTTGAGAAGTTGGATATGAATGAAACATTAACCTATGTTTCACACAAAACCTGGGAAAGTTGTTTTAAGAGATTACATCCCCCAGACATCATGGCCTTAGAGCAGCCGTTCCCAACCTGTGGTCCATGGACCACCAGTGGTCCCCCAGAACTAAAATATGATCCATGGCCTTACCATTACTACACTGTTGCAATGAGTGTGACTGGCCTCACAAAACCCTTTTATAGTGCTCAGGCAATGGGGATATCGGGAGGGGAGAGGGTGACTATCCATGAAAGGCACGAGAACAAGCCTCCTGACTGCTGCTTCTCCTCCTCCTCCACCCTCCCTCTGAGTGGAACCATTCCATGTGGTGCCTGGAAGTGAGGGAGTGTCTTCGTCTTTAGGTCTGTTTCTGGGGTTATTTGGGGTGCCGATTCAGAAAATTGCATTGGATAGACCACATCAGCTCTAGATTATTAAATATGGTTTTCTGTGTGCAAGCAGATGGCATATGTTCTGTATCAGAAATTAGAGCTGATGTGGTCTATCAAATGCAATTTTCTGAATCAACACCTCAAATAACTAAACTGAATCGAGTGTTGACCAAAAACTGATTCGTAATCCTTTTGGTACTAATGTTGGAGAGTGGTCCCTGGTCAAAGTGATCCCTGATCAAAAAATGGTTAGAGAGAATGTGAGAGTTTGGTCCTGCCGAATTCATCACCTCCTACAACCGTTATGGCGAACCTATGACACGCGTGTCAGCACTGACACGCCTAGACATTTTTGATGACACGCGGCTGCATGCCGCTGCATACAGAGAAGTTTGGGTCTGCATCCCAAGAAGGACATTTCATCCTTGGCTCCTCCATGGCCAGGTGCAGAAGCCGAGGATAAAACATTTGCAGTAGTTTAGCGTCTAGTTCTGGAACTTCCAGTTAGGCCGTTAGGGAGCAGGGAGCAGCGGAATGCCGTGGGGGACACATCTCTGGGGGCCCTGTGATCTCCATCACCAGCAACCACATAATCACAGCAACCATCATCCAATATACTGTTCTGGGGTGTTGTGGATTTCTAAGTGACCATCATTACTGAGAAAAGTGAGGGGAGGAGGGAGTTGGGAGAGGCGAGAGTCTGAGTTACAGGTGCAATTTCCCGCCATATATTATTATTATTATTATTATTATTATTATTATTATTATTCATTTTTGTTATTTAAACTGTAAGTATCGCAAAATTAAAGGGTTTTTTTACTCTCGAAGTGACACCCCACCCAAGTAATGCTTGCTTTTTGATTAACTTTGACACACCAAGCTCAAAAGGTTACCCATCACTGTCCTACAAGCTCAGGAGTATATAGCAAATGCAATGGTGATTTTTTTTTTTGTATTATGCTAAATATGTGAGGAGAAGTCCTAGAGAGGAGGGAGCACGCTTGTTTTCTGCTGCCCTGGAGACTAGGATGCAGATCAATGGCTTCAAACTACAGGAAAGAAAATTCCACCTGAACCTTAGGAAGAACTTCCTGACTGTGAGAGCTGTTCAGCAGTGGAACTCTCTGCCTCAGAGTGTGGTGGACGCTTTTAAACAGAGCCTGGGTAGCCATTTGTTGGGGGTGCTTTATTTATTTATTTACAGCACTTCTACCCCGCCCTTCTCAATCTGAAGGTGACTCAGGGCAGTGTACAGACTGGCAACAATTAAATGCCACAACATACATACACCAATTAAAAACAGCTAAAACACATAATAAAATCCATATAAAAATAAAAATGCGATTTTCCTGCTTCTTGACAGAATGGGGTTGGACTGAATGGCTCACAAGATCTCTTCCAACTCTAGGACTCTATGATTCTATTATTCTATTTTATGTTGCTGCAGACACATAATGTAAGCCTCCATAGATAAGCCAGAAACTGTAATACTGGTAGAAGGTTGGGACGTCAGGAAGAAGGACTCTAGCTTACATGTTCATTTTCTAGAAGTAATGACTGCACGATGGTGAAAACATTCAGCCAAATGAGTCTACTTTATCTGGAAGAATTAGGCTTTAACCAACTATTCTTGGTGAAATGTGCTTTGTATATTGCCACAGAGTCATTTAAAGAAGCAATTTATAATCATTTTCATTATAGACATACAAATATGCATTGTACAGACGCCAACGTCAAGCAGATACTTTTTGAGACATATGTTAGCTTATATAAATGTATATACATAGCCCATGGTTATATACCAGGAATGTTATATATTTTTCGCACCCACTTCCTTTTTCTCATTTTTTCTCCTTCTTGGTATTCTTAATTTAAAAGTTAATCAAAACGGAAAAAGCAATTAATGCTATTCCCTCTGAGAGGCTGGGATATTTTTGAGCTGGAAAGATACTAGTGAACTCATATCTTTGACTAGATAAAGTCAAAAGTCTAGGACCAGAGTTTGTGAAATTCACACATTCATATATGATTTTTTGAGGAAGCAGGCACAAATACATTATAAATTATCTTGTCTCTCTCCAGGGAAATTGGAATGCAAGTGGGTAATTCAAGATCTTTAAAGGATAGCTTTCAATTCCTGGCCAAATTACAAAGTCCAAGGCCCCCTAAACAAAATCATATCAGGCTTATAGACATAACTAGATGTGCATTTCCAGCAGGTTTATTATAATGGAAATTGAATCAATACTCTACCTCATCACAAACATTTGGATCCCCTTTGTCTGCTAAATATTTTTCAATAACTGGCATCTTGTTCTCCAAGGCAGCCTTGAAAAACATGGGGACATCCACAGGTTCTGTCTGAAGAAGAGAAAGAATCAATGTCAGGATGGTACACTTTGGATGCAATCCCACTGAAACCAACATAAAATAACATGTATTAACTTACTATAACTTCTTGCTCAGGCTTCTTTACAACAGGAACTTTGACTCTCTTAATTTTTTTCCTTTTTTTCAACTGGATAATTTTTTGAAGATCTTCCAAGCTTTCAAGTTTTGGTCTCTCCTCTAGTTTCTTTTTCTTGAGCTGGAAAAAAAGTAAATAAGTAGATAACTTTAGATAACACTACATGGAAATTAAGATAATACAAAGTATGGTAATATCAGTTTCAAGAGAGAGATTTCAGAAAATCTTTAGGATTCCTTTTTAAATCTTGCAAAGTAGATTTTCTTGTATGCCCTGATGTTTTGGATTCTTACGACAGAAGTATATACAATTATGTATGATGTGGAAAATGTGGATAGTGAGTCTTTTCCCATTTGTCTCATAATATTAGAACCCAGGATCATCAAATAAAACTCAGAAAGGAAAGATTCAATTTAGATGAAAGACTGTTGTTCTCACAGTATAGAGGTAGAGAAAATGTAGCATACAAGTCCTTTTGAGACAGTGACTTTTAAAAATAATTCTAATCTTGCACGCCCCCCAATTGGGAAGTTCAGTTCACAACCCTGTGTTTCTTTACGAGCTCCCTTCAAATAACTTGCTCCTATTCTTATCTCATTAGAGTTTTTAAACATTTTATCCTGTACATGTGGCCCGCCCACTGTCATTGCGTTTATGTTTATTGTAATGTTATTTTATTACTATATTCATTTTTTTCTTTTTCTTTTTACCATGTAATTTTGATGATGTTGCTTGTTGTTTATGTTTTGGTTTTAATTTTGCTGTAATATGTTGTCCGGGCTTGGCCCCATGTAAGCCTCTCCGAGTCCCCATTGGGGAGATGGTGGTGGGGTATAAATAAAGATTATTATTATTATTATTATTATTATTATTATTATTATTATTATTATTATTATGGCTTTCTAATTGGATGCCTTCAGAAGGGGATTAAGAAATGATACTTTTCTTGTTGCATGACTTCAGAAAGGGTTGAACTAACAATAACTTCCTATTTGCATGGCTTCAGAAGGAAGATAATCAATGATATATTGACAAAGGATTTCATGGCTGGAATCACCGGGTTTTTGTAGTTTTTTCGGGCTATATGGCCATAGAAACATTCTCTCCTGAGGTTTCACCTGCATCTATGGCAAGCATCCTCAGAGGTTGAGAGGTCTGTTGGAAACTAGGAATGTTGGGTTTATTGACCTCACAACCTCTGAGGATGCCTGCCATAGATGAAGGTGAAACATCAGGAGAGAATGCTTCTAGAACATGGTCATATAGCCCGCAAAACCTAAAACAACACAGTAATCAATGATGGTTTCTCAGTTAGATGGCTTTGGGAAAGGATTAACCAAGGATCAGATCCTTTGAAAATACCAGCCACAGATGTATGCAAAACAACAAGAAAAAAATACTACTAGAACATGGCCATACAGCCCAGAAACCACACAATACCCCAGTGATTCTAACCATAAAAGTTTTGACAATACATGGCGTAATAGTTGGATGCCTTCAGAAGAGGATATACGTCATTTTATCTTCCACATTTCTTTCAGTATGGAACAAGTGGTACACAACATTTTGGTTTAAGCAGGATACAATGAAAACAGACTCATCCCTAGACAATCTTTGAAAGTGAACCAGCTAGTCTCTGCTGGTTGTAGCACATTCACTTAAAAGATAGGGGTTACCATAGCTTGCCAAGGCTGCATTCCAATCTCACTTCTAACCCAGTGCCAAGGTTGACTCTCATATATGCCCCAAGGTGCCTGGATATCTGGCCACCCTACCAGAATCAGGCTGCATGCCTCTCACCACCAGCTACTGGGAAGCATGGGCAAGAAACCCAAGGCAGAATAGCCAGTTGTGAAATATGATGGAAGCTGTGGTTCAGCAATATCTGCAGAACCAAATTCTATCTGTACCCTCAAGTAAGCACTCACAAGACTGATTCAAGATGTGTTACTGCTTAAGGCAAATATACCCCAACACCACAAAGGGTGTTACCAAATTAAGCATCCTGGGACACTTGCCAGCCAGTTGAGGGACAGATGGGCATGCAGCCCATCACACAATGTCCCCAACTTCTGGCAGAGGCCCCACCCCCATGGATACTTCCTGGTCAACATGGAAAGGCTCCCGTGTAGTGCTGGGAATGGGTCATCATCATCATCATCATCATCATCATCATCATCATCATCTATTATGGCATCCTCCAACCAAAGGGAACAGTCAGCAAGCTATTGCTGTCCCTTCCAAGTAACGTGAGCCAACTATCTCATTCTCTTTACTGCAGAACTGGGCCAGAATTAATATGTTATTCAGGAAGAGTCTGGGCATAATGTTGCTGTTTTGTCCCTTCAAGTCATTTCCAATTTATAAGACAACCAATAGCTTGCTAACTGTTCCCTTATAATATGCCTGTGAGACATGGACTATCTACAGACGTCACATGCAACTCCTGGAACGATTCCATCAGCGTTGCCTCCAAAAAATCCTGCAAATCTCTTGGGAAGACAGGCAGACAAATGTCAGCATGCTGGAAGAAGCAAAGACCACCAGCATTGAAGCAATGGTTCTCCGCCATCAACTCCACTGGACCGGATGCAGGACCATCGTCTCCCAAAGCAGTTGCTCTACTCCAAACTCAAGAACAGAAAATGGAATGTTGGTGGGCAGGGAAAGAGATTTAAAGATGGGCTCAAAGCCAACCTTAAGAACTCTGGCATAGACACTGAGAACTGGGAAGCCCTGACCCTTGAGTGCTCCAGCTGGAGGTCAGCTGTGACCAGCAGTGCTATAGAATTTGAAGAAGCAAGAATGGAAGGCAAAAGAGAGAAATATGCCAAGAGGAAGGCACTTCAAGCCAACCCCGACCGCCTTCCACCTGGAAACCAATGCCCTCACTGCGGATGAACATGCAGGTCAAGAATAGGACTCCACAGTCACCTATGTACACACCGTCAGTACACTGATCTTCAAAAACAATCCTACTCAGACAACGAGGGATCACCTAAGCAAGTAATAAGACAACCCTATTGCTGGGGTTTCTTGGCAAGATCTGGTTAGACAGGATTTGCCTTGCTTCTGAGGGCGAGAGTGACTTGCCCAAGGTCACTCATGAGGTTTCCATGGCCAAGTGAAAGTTTCAACCCCCTTCTCAAGAGTCATAGTCCAGCATCATATTCCTGCCTGATGTGCATAGTTCTATTATGCACAACAGGAAATAGTTAAATGTTCCTTGGAATTTAGTCTAGTTAGAGCTGTTTCAGAATGTGTGTCAACTTGTATTGCAAGCAACAGGCGCCACATCTTTCAAAGAGCAGTGTAGCTGAGGTTTTTTCAAAGAACAAGGTGTTAATGAGTGCAACTATAAGTGACAGAATCTAGCTCCCAAATATAGAATATATTGCACTGAAAAATCTGTTTATTGAGGTGACTTTTGATTAAGTAGTTTCAAGGCGCACCTTTATTGCAAACTCAATTTAAAAGCATATTGGGGGATATGTAGCAAAAGGTTCTCATTCCAAACCCTTTAAAATCTGTCAGGTTTCAATCCGTCCTTGAATTCAGCACAGTACTGTAATTCTTCATTTGAATAATCCATCATCAGTGCGAAACTGTAAAATTCTAATTGGCAGGCTCATGATAAGCTGTTACTTCAAAGGCAAAACTCTGCTGATTTCAACTTACTAATGTCTTTCCTATTTTCACCTTCCTTGAAGGAGGGGGGGGGGAGTGTGAATTGGGATTTTGCTGCCCTAGACATCCGCCTTGTTCTCAAAGAACGAAACAGTCAAATGGTTACAAAAACAGTAGTGATAATTTTGTGATAATATAGAGATGTGGACAATACAGAGATGTGGAGCTGGGTATGTTTAGCATGAAGAAAAGAAACTAAGAAGGATCATGATAGCAATGTTTAAACATTTGAGAGGCGATCCCATTGAGGAAGGGGCAAGTTTGTTTTCTGCTGCTCTGAAGACTAAGGCACAGAGTAATGGATTCAAATTGCAGGAAAGCAGACTAAACATTAGGAAGAACTTCCTAACCCTAAGAGCTATTCAACAGTACATTATGCTGCCTTGGAGAATGGTTGGGTCACCTTTTCTAAAGACTATTCCTATAAGATCCAACCAGTCCATATTTCAGGAAATAAGGCCCGACTGCTCATTCGAGGGAAGGATATTAGAGGCAAAGATGAAGTACTTTGGCCACATCATGAGAAGACAGGAAAGCCTAGAGAAGACAATGATGCTGGGGAAAATGGAAGGAAAAAGGAAGAGGGGCCGACCAAGGGCAAGATGGATGGATGGTATCCTTGAAGTGACTGGCTTGACCTTGAAGGAGCTGGGGGTGCTGACGGCTGACAGGGAGCTCTGGCATGGCCTGGTCCATGAGGTCACAAAGAGCCGGAAGCGACTGAGTGAATAAACAACAACCTATAAGAACAATTTCATTGTTTGTGTCCTACCTTCCTCCTGAGATTATCTTGTTTAGATGGCCAAAGGAATTCTGACCTTTAGAACTACAGAGATAAAAGGAGATGTTCAAGATATAATTACACACAAAAATGTTTATATATTTACCTCGGCTTGTAGCTTTTTCTCCTCTGTGTAGGTCAAATTATGCCGTGGGAGCAGGTGAACATTCACCGTCTTCAGATCCTCATGTTTTTCTAACCTCACAGTAGCTTCGTATTCTCCATGTTTGAAGTCCTCTGGGAGAAAATCACCTGTCTCTCTGCCATCACTCTTTTTGCCAGTCACCTGTCAAAGGAAAAACATGGTGTCAGAGTGCAATATTTTTCTTTATGACCCACTAGAAGGGGGCAACAATTATACAGAGTGTATCTTTTCATTGCTATCTCATCCAGAGTTTTATCATTTTATGTCGTGCATTTTCCTTTATGTTATTTTGTACTGTTTACTTTACTTGATTGGTTTATTTATTTACTTGGAAAACATGGGTTGAATCAGTGGCATCCAACATTTGGTCCTCCAGCTGGGATTCCAACTCCCAGAAACCCTGTCTACCTTGCCCAATGTTCAGGAATTCTGGGAGCTGAAGTCTAAAACACCTGGAGGTCCAAAGACTGGACACCACTGAGTTCAATGAATGGCTCAAGGCAACACAGGCGAGCTGATATAAGATGCCATGAAGCAGTATTTACCACATTCCAAATGTTCAAGTGAAGAGTTAAGAACCAGCTTACAATCCAACAAGGTTGACCATATAACCCAATGAGGATATGTGAGAGGAAGTCATAGGGAGGTGGGAGCAAGCTTGTTTTCTGCTGCCCTGGGGACTAGGACGCAGAACAATGCCTTCAAACTACAAGAAAGAAGATTCCATCTGAACATTAGGAAGAACTTTGTAACTGAGAGCTGTTCAGCAGTGGAACTCTCTGCCCTGGAGTGTGGTGGAGGCTCCTTCTTTGGAGGCCTTTAAACAGAGGCTGGATGGCCATCTGTCGGGGGTGCTTTGAATGCTATTTTCCTGGTTCTTGGCAGGGAGGTGGACTGGATGGCCACAAGGTCTTTTCCAACTCTATGATCTAAGATTCTATGACCTTATCATTATGTAAAGTAATAAGCAGAATGAGGCAATTGCTTCACTAGTAGCTTGTGGAAGGAAGGCAGGAAGATGTCTAGATGGCGGGGTATTAAAAATGGTGCAGATTCATGAGGAAGGAAGGAAGGAAGGAGGAAGGGAGGAAGGAAGGAAGGAAGGAAGGAAGGAAGGAAGGAAGGAAGGAAGGAAGGAAGATGTCTAGATGATGGGGTATTAAAAATGGTGCAGATTCACCAAGTCTCCCTTGGGGAGATGGTGGCAGGGTATAAATAAAGATTATTATTATTATTATTACTGTTGTTGTTGTTGTTGTTGTTGTTATTGTTATTATTAGTGCAGCCCTTGAAAAGCACAGGGAGAGGAGTTACTTGGAAAACATGGGTTGAATCAGTGGCATCCAACATTTGGTCCTCCAGCTGTTTGGGATTCCAACTCCCAGAAACCTTGTCTACCTTGTCCAATGTTCAGGAATTCTGGGAGCTGAAGTCTAAAACACTGGAGATCCAAAGACTGGACACCACTTAATGATAGATTAAGAAAGATATCTGGAATTATAGACAGATGAAGAGAAAATTGAACAGAGAACAAAGCCAATAAGAACTGAGCTGAGATGTCTGTCATTACCATAGTATGGACTTTATGCTGTGTGGGAAGGGAAAAAAATTGTACAGAAGCTGTCAAGACACAGAGTGCCTGGAGGAAATGAGGCAAAGTGGGCAGTGATCTGAAAAGTTGTTACTTGAGAACAGAGTGTGCTTGTGAATGAAATATGGAAAAAAATATGGATTTATACTGAGGCAAAATAATACAAATGGAAAGCTCTCTGTAGCTTTGAAATGAAAATAAAAAGTGGGCAGACACAGGAAGGTTAGTACTAACAGTACCAACATAGTACTAACATCAGCTAAGAAAAGTTTCTTTTGTGGACTGCACCTGCAAAAATCCTCTAGCTAGAAGCGCCAAGGTCCCCAAAAGTTGTAATCCAAAACAGTAACCATCTCCAAGCTCTGGACCTATCCTGTGGTGTTGTGAGCAGGTAATCCTAAGGGTCATACCAAAAGTGAATGATGGCAGTGCAAAGTTCCACTTACTGATTTGAACTGATCAGACAGTCATTAGATAGATACAGCTTGCACCGGGTAACCATCTAACTAATAAATCAGCTTTGGGGAGAAAAATAGTAAAGCAATGGAGAATTTGGAGATGGAGACATATGTGAAGCAGCAGGCTGAAGATGGATCCAGAAGCAGAGTCCATTCCATGTCAGTGATGAATCTGTTCAAAAACAATATCCCCCAGTATTGGTCCAGCAATTGATTAGCTCCTTTGGAGACTGAAACCTTAGATGAAGTCATCACTCCATTTATATGAAAGCCACCAATTGCCACTGAGCCACTGAACAGAATATCTCATACTAACTAGAAAATCATATCTATAATTACAGATAGTTTACAGGTACCATAACATTAAAAAAAACCCTTTCTGTTCTTCCATTGCTATGTGAAGTCAGCCAGTCCAGTTAGTTCATATAATGAATCCTGTTAAAATTAGATGTAGCTCAGCCTCAATGAAGTCAATGACACAAATGAACTATCGGTAATACAGCTTTCATTGCTCCCAGGGGTTGTAGTCATGACTAACTTTATCTGGACTGGAGGTCAATGACTGGGATTGGTTTCTTTGGGTCACCCAAGAGCTTAGGTAACCCTTAAGGGATTTTTTATATTCACCCTGCCTCTTGTAGACTGGCAGACTCCTGTGCCATCTGGTTTTGAAATTCTCCATGTGACATGGGAATCTCTCACCATGCCTAAAAGTCCTTTGGGTGTTCAGAATGAATGGTATGGGTCCTTGTTTCTGGCTTGTTCACAACTACCTTATCACTGACAACGCTTAGAAAAACCACCTTCCTCAAATGCTCAGCTTGCATAGTTATTGGCCATGTTGATTGAAGGGTTTTGTAAGTTGTAATCCAAAATGGTAACATCTCCAAGTTTTGTTTAAAGTCTAAGACAGTGTTTCTCAACCTGGGGGTCGGGACCCCTGGGGGGGTCGCGAGGGGGTGTCAGAGGGGTCGCCAAAGACCATCAGAAAACACAGTGTTTTCTATTGGTGATGGGGGTTCTGTGTAGAAAGTATAGCCCAATTCTCCCATTGTTGGAGTTCAGAATGCTCTTTGATTGTAGGTGAACTATAAATCCCAGCAACTACAACTCCCTAATGTCAAGGTCTATTTCCTCTAACCTCCTCCAGTATTCACATTTGGGCATGTTGAGTATTCGTGCCAAGTTTGGTCCAGATCCATCATTGTTTGAGTCCACAGTGCTCTCTGGATAAAGGTGAACTACAACTCCAAAACTCAAGGTCAATGCCTATCAAACCCTTCCAGTATTTAATGTTGGTCATAGGAATTCTGTGTGCCAAGACTGGTTCAATTCAGTCGTTGGTGGAGTTCAGAATGCTCATTGATTGTAAGTGAACTATGAATCTCAGCAACTACAACTCCCAAATGACAGCATCAATCTCCCCTTCAATCCCACTAGAATTCAAATGTGGGCATATCAGGCATTTGTGCCGAATTTGGTCCAGTAAATGTAAATACATCCTGCATATCAGATACTTACATGATGATTCATAACAGCAGCAAAATTACAGTTGTGAAGTCGCAACAAAAATGTTATGGTTGGGGGTCACCACAACATGAGAATTGTATTAAGGGGTCACGGCATTAGGGAGGTTGAGAACCACTGGTCTAAGATATATGTACATGGTAGGAATCAAGGAGGCTATTCAATACAAGCTTTTTTGGGATCAAAGCTTCATACCTTCGATCCTATCCATATCTGCTTGGAAGTCCCACTGATTACAGGTGACTGTATAGACCAGTGGTTCCCAACCTTTTTTTAATATACCAGAGACCACTTTGACCAGGGACCGCTCTCCAACATTAGTACCAAAAGGGTTACGAATCAGTTTTTGGTCAACTCTCGATTCAGTTTAGTTATTTGGGGTGCTGATTCAGAAAATTGCATTGGATAGACCACATCAGCTCTAGTTTCTGATACAGAACATATGCCATCCAGTAGTCACCATCTGCTCGCTCACAAAAAACCATATTTAGTAAACCTCGGCACTATAAGAGGGTTTTACAAGACCAGTTGCTCTTGTTGGAACGGTGTCGTAATGGTGAGGCCGTGGGCTGTATTTTAGTTCTTGTGGACCACTGGTGGTCCATGGACCACAGGTTGTGAATCACTTGTATAGATTGTCAGCTACAATTTCTTTTGGTTCAAATCTCTAAACAATCATCATGGCTGGTGTCCAAGACTGTTTAATTAATGAACCCCTCTGGTAAGGCAATGGATTTGATAAAGGTTTTGCAGGACAGCTCCTGGATATTTGAACAATAATTACAGGAAATACCCATGCTGGATCTTTCCAAAGACACAACCTTCCAAGAAGGCTCCTATTCCATTTGTTTCCTTCACTGCTAACTCTTGCCATTAATAAGACAGTCAAAAGACCTGAGATAGAAGATGCCAATTAAGATGCCTATCCATTCACAGATGCTCACATACATGTTATCCTCTCCAAAATTTTTAGTTCTGAATCAATCTCACAAACTTGGCTTGGTGAAAACATAACCAGAAATGCATTGTCAGATTACTTTCCAGTCTATATAGAAGAGATTCGGGTGTTTCAGATGCATGACTCAATCCCCAAATAAGATGTGTGTTTTGGAGGTCACAATGTGGTAAAGAAATACTATGTATATGAAACAGACTTTAAACAAGCAAACAAACAAAAAGAATTATCTTTCATCTGGGAACCGACCCCTTTTCCTCCTTATGAAAGCATTTATGGGGAAAACTGCAGTGTCCTTGCACTTAGATCAATGTTTCTCAACCTGGGGGTCGGAACCCTTGGGGAGTCATGAGGGGGTGTCAGAGGGGTCTCCAAAGACCATCGGAAAACACAGTATTTTCTGTTGGTCATGGGGGTTCCGTGTGAGAAGTTTGGGGCAATTCTATCATTGGTGGAGTTCAGAATGCTTTGATTGTAGGTGAACTATAAATCCCAGCAACTACAACTCCCAAATGTCAAGTCTGTTTCCCCCAAACTCCACTAGTGTTCACATTTGGGCATACTGAGTATTTGTGCCGAGTTTGGTCCAGATCCATCATTGTTTGAGTCCACACTGCTCTCTGGAGTTAGGTGAACTACAACTCCAAAACTCAATGCCCACCAAACCCTTCCAGTATTTTCTCTTGGTCATGGGAGTTCTGTGTGCCAAGTTTGGTTCAATACCATAGTTGGTGGAGTTCAGAATGCTCTTTGATTGTTGGTTAACTATAAATCCCAGCAACTACAACTCCCAAATAACAAAATCACCCCCCATCCCAACCCTACCAGTACTTAAATTTCAGCATATCAGGTATTTGTGCCAAATTTGGTCCAGTGAATGAAAATACATCCTGCATATTGAATATTTCAATTATGATTCATAACAGTGCAAGAATACAGTTTTGAAGTAGCAACAAAAATAATTTTATGGTTGGGGGTCACCACAACATAAGGAAATGTACTAAGGGGTCGCAGCATCAGGAAGGTTGAGTACTACTGACTTAGATCATTATTTTCAAGAATTTCATCACTTTTCCTGTGTGCCTGAAGCACATATCAAACCTTATTTAAGAACTCCTGACAACACTCTTATGAGGTAGGTCAATATGATTATGTTTATAAAATAAGCCATACACATACCTGTATCATGTAAAAGTTAAGGATACAAAGTAGCAACTTACCCATGACAACTGGGATGAGATTTAAATTGTGCCTTTTTGGCGCATAGCTTATACTCTATTACAGGGTTTCTCAACCTTCCTAATGCCGCGACCCTTTAATACAGTTCCTCATGTTATGGTGACCCCCCAACCATAAAATTATTTTCGTTGCTACTTTAAAACTTTCATTTTGCTCCTGTTATGAATTGTAATGTAAATATCTGATATGCAGGATGTATTTCAATTCACTGGACAAAACTTGGCACAAATACCCAATATGCCCAAGTTTGAATACTGGTGGGGTAGGGGTGGGGATTGATGTTGTCATTTGGGAGTTGTAGTTGCTCGGATTTATAGTTCCCCTACCATCAAAGAGCATTCTGAACTCCACCAACGATGGAAATGAACCAAACCTGGCACACAGAACTCCCATGACCAACAGAAAATACCGGAAGGGTTTGGTTGACCTTGAGTTTTGGAGTTGTAGTTCACCTACATTCAGAGAGCTCTAACAATGATGGATCTGGACCAAACTTGGCACAAATACTCAATATGCCCAAATGTGAACACTGGTGGAGTTTGGGGCAAATAGACTTGACATTTGGGAGTTGTAGTTGCTGGGATTTATAGTTCACCTACAATCAAAGAGCATTCTGAACCAACAATGGAACTGAACCCCAAACTTGGCACACAGACCAACAGAAAATACTGGAAGGGTTTGGTGGGCATTGACTTGAGTTTTGGAGTTGTAGTTCACCTACATCCAGAGAGCACTGTGTAAACAATGATGGATCTGGACCAAACTTGGCACAAATACTCAATATGCCCAAATGTGAACACTGCGTGGAGTTTGGGGAAAATAGACCTTGACATTTGGGAGTTGTAGTTACTGGGATTTATAGTTCCCCTATTATCAAAGAGCATTCTGAATTCCACCAACGATGGAAATGAACCAAACCTGGCACACAGAACTCCCATGACCAACAGAAAATACTGGAAGGGTTTGGTTGACCTTGAGTTTTGGAGTTGTAGTTCACCTACATCCAAAGAGCACTGTGGACTCAAAGAATGATGGATCTGGACCAAACCTGGCATGAATACTCAATATGCCCAAATGTGAACACTGGTAGAGTTTGGGGAAAATAGATTTGACATTTGGGAGTTGTAGTTGCTGGGATTTATAGTTCACCTACAATCAAAGAGCATTCTGAACCCACAATGAGAGAATTGCCCCAAATTTCTCACACAGAACCCCATGACCAACAGAAAATACTGTGTTTTCTGATGGTCTTTGGTGACCCCTCTGACACCCCCTCACGAACCCTGCAGGGGTCCCGACCCCCAGATTGAGAAACACTGCTCTATTACAAAGATTCTCAGAGACAATTCATAAAACCACATCATTAGATCATGTCACATAAAACTTGATCAAAATGCCCAGCCATGTTTCTCTTTCTGCTATAGTTAATTCATAACTTATATGGAACACTTGACAAAAGTGTGTGATACCAGCCTACAACATACAAACCATAAAGGAAGAATAACAACCTACCAGCTCTTCCACTCTCAGCATCATCATGGTTCCAGCTGGCTTATCAAGAAGTGTTAACACTGTTTGGTACTCCTTCCAAGGAAGATGCCTCCTCCCACTGCTATCCAAAGCTACTTTGCTAAAATACGCCAATCTCGCTTAGCTTATATATCTCTGCAAAAACTTCTTCAGAGTGAGATAATCTTCCAACCTGGGAATCCAAGTACGCCCTCAGCCCCCCAGCCCTGAGATAGGTGCTCTTGCATTCCAGACATGTTAACTAGCCAGATCTAGTGTCAAAGATAGGAATGGCTAGGGGAGGGTGGGGGGAGAGAACGAGAAGAGGGCTACATCTTGCCATGTGTAACTGGGCTGCCTGTGTGAATCACTGTGAAATACTAGAGCTTCATTCCATTCGTGATGACTAAATAGCTCTGCAATGCTAGACATTTTGTCTGTCCAGTGCCCAGTGGGACAGCTGTCTGCAGATACCGCGCTGTATCGTAACTGACTTTCACATGAGCCAGAGACACCAGGAAAAGGACAAGTGACCCAATGTCGTGCTCAGCGTATCATCATCTTTGGCTAAGCAAACATGTGATCTGTTCAGGTATGGGAAGTCATTCTTTTCGTGATATTCTATTCTCGGATTGTAAACAGTATGAGAGGGAAAGGGGTGGTCTTTTTCTCCCCCCTCCCCTTCCTCTACCCATCATCATGGCACTTGTCTATATTTGCTGGAAGGAATTATCCAAAGGGATTATGAAGCCAGAATGATGTCTCTGGGGCTAAAAAAACCTCAATGACACAGTAAGTTACCATCAGCATAAGAAATGGAACCCGCTGGCTTTGCATTTTCTCTGGAATCTGTCACTGCTTATAAGCAGAATTCAGAGCTGGGGAAAAGGTAATATCTGGGACTATAAATTCCAGAGTCCTCCAGGCAGTATAGGGGGTCATTGAAGTTGTAGTCCTAAAAAAATATTTTTTCTGAGTTAGAGCAAACGGGAAACATGGACCCCAAAATTAATCTCGAAGTACAACTTCCACTCAAATTAGGACATTATCCATAATCAGTCAAGGTTTTCTAGAGCAGTGGTTCCCAAACTGTGTTCCACTGAACACTAGGGTTCCACAAAAACATCACAGAGGTTCCGCATTTTTTTTTTAAAAAAAAACTTTTAAAAACTTTTTTAAAGACCATGCCAAAGTATGAAGATTTTATTGAAATTCAGTGTTTATTTATTTATTTATTTATTTACTCCTTTTGTATACCGCAAATATCAGCCAACGGCGACTCTAAGCGGTTTACAGTAAAATGTGCAACATTGAACAATATATATGACAAACAACCACAAACAATACACATAACGTCATCACGCCTCGAATAGAATCAGATCCAAATCTCACAGTCGTTTTACCATTCCTTGTTCAGTATGCCGTCTTTCTGAGTCAGATGTTATTGCATGCTTATCCGAACGCCTGTTCGAAGAGCCACGTCTTAACCCGCCTCCTAAACGCCAATAGCGAGGGGGCCTGCCTGATCTCCACTGGTAGGGCATTCCATAGCCGAGGGGCCACCACCGAGAAGGCCCTGGTGCAAAGCGATGGTTATAAACTGTCTCGATCTTCTTTCTTGTGAAGCATAAGCTGGTCATAAGCTTCTGTGGCCTTTGGACTGCTGGTATAAAATGGACTGCTGGTATAAAATTACTGTTGAATGCAGGTGCTAAGGATGCCTGTTTTTGGATTGCTTGGGCCTAGGATGCCAGACAATGCCCCAAGCCTCTAGTGACTACAGAAAAAGGAGGAGTCCGGCAAGAGAACTCTATACAGGCAAATGGAATAGACCAATTAAGGCTGGCCTCTGGGGGAATTTTAAGCTCCACCCAAAACTAATACAAAGAAAGGTATCTGCACTATTGGGAAAACCTATGAACAGCAGGAACTGAAGCAGAGGAGAGGAAAAGGCAGAGCCAAGACTTCACAAATAGCCTTTTGCTTCCTTACATGTTCACCACAGCCCTTCCTTTCCCAACAACCCAAATATAGATTTAAATTGGGTTGTTGTAGGTTTTTCCGGGCTATATGTCCATGTTCTAGAGGCATTTTCTCCTGACGTTTCGCCTGCATCTATGGCAAGCATCCTCAGAGGTAGTGAGACCTCACTACCTCTGAGGATGCTTGCCATAGATGCAGGCGAACCGTCAGGAGAAAATGCCTCTAGAACATGGCCATATAGCCCGAAAAACCTACAACAACCCAGTGATTCCGGCCATGAAAGCCTTCGACAATACATATTTAAAGAAACAATTTGACAACTTATTTTGAATTAGATACCAGTTAAACATCACCTTGTACATGTCTCCTTTTACGTTACTACACACAGTAAATTTTATTCCTTTGGTCTTTTTCTAAACAAGTTGTTGTTTTAAAAAGGAAAATGCCCCTGAAACACCTTCTACAAGTTGTGGGGGCATTTCTGACATGTTTGGGAGGGGCAGGACCAATTTAGATTATTTTTTAAAATGTAAAATGTACTATGCTCCCTAAGGAAACTGTGGCCGGATCAGACAGGCCTTTATCCCACAAGCATCCATGGAAGTTCTTTCAGGACTAGCCCAAGATTGTCTGAAGCCCCTCCCCCGCTTCCCCCAAGCCCCCAGACCCCTTAGAAAATAAGAAAAATGCACCCATCCTCCATTACAAGCCTTGGCCAGCTCTCCCAGCACATAGAAATGATGCACCAGGAGAGCAGGGCGGGGGGGGGGGGGAGCGATTTTCCTCTGTGGGGGGGAGCGATTTTAATCATGGCATCACAGTTTTTATTAATCTGCTAACATTCTGCATGAGAGAAACCAGCCTCACTTAGCTGGCACAATGTGGATCACAGGACACACAGAAATCTATCCTCCAAAACAGAGAACAGCGAGAGGACTCGAAAGAAATGGATGGCAAGAAAAATGTCACAATTTCCTCCCTAACAACAACAACTTTTTTTTTGTATCCTGCCTCCATCTCCCCGAAGGGACTCAGGGAGGCATGCATAGGGACAAGTCCAAACTATTTATTTATTTATTTATTTACCCCACTTTTATCCCGCCCTTTTAAGCCCGAAGGCGACTCAGGGCGGCATACAGACTGGCAATAATTAGATGCTGAACACACATAAATGCATTGTTTAAAACAGGTTAAATCACATAATAAAATTCATATAAAAAATTTAAAACTATAAAAATCAATTACTTCCGTGTTTAAATCCATTTGCATAGTTAAGCCGTTCCATATTCGTTCACAATACTGAGTTTATCTGGTTACAATTAGGTTCCAAAAACTTGCTTGAAGAGCCAGGTTTTTATTCTTTTCCTAAAGGTCAGGAGGGAGGGGTCGATCTAATATCCCCAGGAAGGGAGTTCCACAGCTGAGGGGTCACCACTGAGAAGGCCCTGTCCCTCGTCCCTGCCAAGCGCGCCTATGGGGCAGGCGGGATCGAGAGCAGGGCCTCCCCAGATGATCTTAAATACCTGGAAGGTTCATAAGGGGAGACACGTTCGGATAGGTACGTTGGGCCAGAACCATTTAGGGCTTTATAGGCTAAAGCCAGCACTTTGAATTGTGCCCAGTAGCGAATTGGGAGCCAGTGGAGCTGGTGCAATAGCGGAGTTGTATGCTCCCTGAGCGCCACTCCCATTAGTAGCCTGGCTGCCGCCCACTGGAACATTTGAAGCTTCCGAACAGTTTTCAAAGGCAACCCCATGTAGAGCATGCTGCAGTAGTCTATACGGGATGTATAGACTACTGCACATTAAAATTCAAATAACAACACCACAACACAATATAAAACAACCAGACATATAACACAATGTAATAAAAGGGGAAAAAAACAATCGAGCAACAACCAGTGGCCAGAAATAGTAACAGTTTCTGGTCTCGGGAGGGCAGGCTGGTGCAAATCAAATTGAGAAGACAGGGCTAATTGATAAAGTGCAATTACCAGATTGATGGGGAGATATTGGAAATATATTGATATATATATTGTATGTACTTTAGAAGCACTGAAATGTAAGAAAAATCAAGTTCTGTATTAAAAAGCCGAGCGGACAGGCCGGAAAGAATGCTGAGGGAGATCTGTGTTGAAAGGGGGAAGAGAAGGGGGGCATGTTATCGATTCAGAGACTGGTATTATTTATTTATTTATTTATTTATTTATTTATTTATTTATTTATTTAAAACTTCAATCCCCTGATCTTCTCTACCTCCGTAGAGGGACTCAAACCGGCTAACATAAAATCAATACACAAATACAACTAAAAACATAATAGAATCATAATAAGTTAAAAAACAAACAAAATAAATACATATAAGCCAAATCGCCAAGATAAAATCACGTTCATCTCAATCCACCAGTGTGGTCAGTAGTTATTAGATTATTGCTGAACTCAGCCAATTATTCTGGAATGCTATGTCCCAGAGCCAGGATTTTACTTGCTTTCTGAAGGTCAGGAAGGAAGGGGCAGATTTAATCTCCATCGGGAGAGAGTTCCACAGCCAAGGGGCCACCACTGAGAAGGCCCTGTCTCTCGTCCCCACCAGACGCGATTGCAAATGTGGTTGGACCGAGAGTAGGGCCCCTCCAGAAGATCTTAGCAACCTTGATGGTTCATAGGGGAGAATCCGTTCGGACAGGTAAACTGGTAAACTGGGCTATACTTCCTTACTTCTAAGTAAGGAATCTCTCTCCCTCCTGACAGATCAAAGTAAGCCCCTTGATGAATGTAAGCTGTAAACTGCTTTTAGAAAAATTATAGACACATGCCCCTTGCATGTAGAAGATAGAATTTGATATTTCTATGATGCTTAAGGTGACGTAGTGATGATGTTAACGTATATAGAAGCATGTTTCTTTGTTTGCCTGCATATGAAGTTGTATAAAAGGAAAGTCTACGCCTTTATCTTCACTCTGGTTTGCTTTTGGATGAGAGTCCACGCCAAAGCCCCAGCTGGAAATAAAGCCGTACTTTTCTGCCTCCAAAAGGATCGCTCTTGGTATTATCTCTCCTATCTGCTGCTCTACAAGATGACAAAACTAGGGATAAAGGCCAATATAGAGTGGAACATTATAACTTTGAGCAGTATCTACAGTATCTTTTGCCCAAGGCATTTCCCTTGTTCATCTCTAATAACAGACTGGCTTTATGATAAGGGCTGTGAAGTCGTACCTTCTGGATACAAATTCTGTTCTGCTTCCTGACTCTTACCTCTGCCCTTATCTTTTAAAACACAAAGGACGCACGGGTATGATTTCTCCA